CTACAAATTAGCTAGCGGGATGAACTTTTTCAAATGATTCTTTCGGCAATTTCGCGCTCGATATTATATTATATTATATTATTATAGGTATCATGTGTGCAGAAAAGGAAGATTCTAGATAGGCGTAAATTAAACGTAAATAAGAGGTAAAATTGTAGGGAAGGCATCTGCCTTCGAATTCGTATTTACAAAGACATAAAGTAGGTATTCGAGAAGATATTGAAGACGCTTTTCACTTGCCTCGATCACACAATTTCACAATTTCTCTCCTTCGATGCTAGTCTCGAGGGAAATATGTAGGTACATAGAGTGTTTTAGGCTGTAAATGCGTTATCGGGCGGGGGCTGTTTTTTCGTCGCTTTTGTGCGTGCACCGTGACCTAGTTCGACGCCTGACATTTCGCCAGCGTTTTCCGTGTTCGCCAGAGTACCTTGACATCCTTCTCAACAACTTTTTCCTTTCTTTTTTTTCCTTTTTTCTTTTTTTCTTTTTTTCTTTTTTTCTGCAACCTTTCTATCCCACAACCAATCCTCGCTTTTTTCTTTGCCGCGTAACGTCCAACCATTTATCCAATTACCTTTATCTTGCGTTAATTAATTTTCATAATTAACCGATACCTACTTTTCTTATTACAATATCGCGTAAGATCGTGCACAGGAAATGCGAGAAAATAAAAATATATTCGTCAACTATGGTGGACTATGGCGAAAAATGAAGAACAGTTCCGGCAAGTAAATAAGCGGTAGGACGAGTAGGAGGGAAAACGTTTCTGCTCTATATGTATTATGTACCCGACAACCTATTAAGCTGACCTACCTTCTTCTCTCGGTGAACGCTAGTGACGGCGCCGCGTACCGTACCGGCCGGCCCGGTAGCACCTCTTCAACACTGTTTTCAGACTAGAAGGAAAACTACTATGTACTCAAAGACGTTTGAAATGAGACGGCGCTCTGAAAATGATAGAAGCAAACACGCCGCGTATTTAAGTGGAAACACCTTGCCTTGGTAAAAACCAGCATCTACATACGACGTCGTCGATAAAACTTTCAAATGGTTCGTTGTAGCAAAGTAAAAGACTTGACCCTGCCTGCTGTGCCGATACTGTGCATGAAATCGTGACGATACTTTGATACTACCTCTAAATACTATCTAGCTACTACATATTGAACTGATCGAAATTCAAAGAAAGAATACGCTCGATTCGATTCAATATTTCATTCAATTCAAAAATAATAAAATGTAATTAACCAATTAACTTGGTTTAACTTGGCAAATAAATCGTGATAAGAGTATGTGTATGTAGTATTATTATCGATAAATTTTTAACATTGCAAATTAGAGCATCGATTAGCGAATTATTATACAATTAGTTTCAGTGAAGTAACATACCTACTATGTTAATTGTACACAAGATCCTCCATAACCAGGACAGAGGAAAGAAAACATCGAAGCCTGAACGCAACGATAAAGGAGGCTAGAATAATTAACGTAAGCTTTAGTAGGAGTATCTCGAGGCGCGAACGAGACTCGTCCAAGTTGCTCGACTCGATTAAAAAGCCAGTTTAAAACTCTTCAACCGTCTCTCTCGTCTCTTCCGATTTCTTCTTTATTTTCTTTTCTCCTGTTCACAATCTTCAGAAGGGACTTCTAGTTAAAGAAAAGAAAAGAAAAGAAAAGAAAAGAGGGTCGATGAAGATTAACCTCCTGGCCAGCACATCGCAATATTCGCTTCGATAGTTGTTCCTTTCAACGCTTCGAGCACTCTTTAAGCTAAAATTGTACTTTTCTTCTTCTACCTTCGTACCGCCTTGCTTTGCACCCAATTCATTCATCGAAATGATTTCGCGTTCGCGACAGAGAGACAGAACAGGCACATGCATTTATGTATGCAATATTCGGTTTCTAACGCTGCATCAGGACGGTTATAATGCTGTTATAATTTATAGCTCAATACATACGACGCGCAACGCGAATAAATTCCATATATGTATATATTATGTACCCTCGTGCTTATTAACCTTTGAACATTTTTTTTATTAAAGCCGAGTTATCCAACTTTTTCTTCCCGAATCGCGATTCTCACGATAAAGTTGCTTCTCAATTTATTGCAGAAACAGAAGCACCATTTCCACTGGAATATCCAGAATCAGGTCAATGGCAGCTCGTTCGATAACCAGCCACCACGTTATTCGAAATATTATTCCAGTAATCGGAAGCGATTGCAGGCCGAAACGCTCGTTGCTGATCTAAATTACAGCATCGTTACAATCGTTTACAGCCTCCTCGAAAACACGAATAAAACGAGCAATCCCGGTATCTGATAAATTCATCGGAATCAAGTTCCAAGATTTACGTCGACGTTATTCGCGGTCGAATAATACGGCCATTTCTATTTTCACCGTTCACGTAAATACCAGTACGATATGTAGATAGGTAGATAGGTAGCGTCAAATCGTTTCTGTCAAAATTCTATCAAATGTAGAGTAAATTCAGATAAAATGCACTTGTTCTAATCGCACAGTTCTAATGAACAGGGTGCCAGAAACCCGCGAGTAACAGGAGGTGAAACAGAAAGTGGAACGGAGGAAAACAGCTCTGATCTAGGCCATATCTGGCCGCTAATGGATTACCAGCCGTTCGATAGCAATTAGGATGATATCGAGGCTTTCGCATTTTCCGTTTACTCGAAAAGAGCCGATAGAAAAACCCCATTCTCGATAAATTAACCTCGAATTTCTACAATATTTTCACCGATTAACTCGATAAAAATATAATAGGTATATTTTCTCGTTTCTTCTGTTCTTCTGTTCTTTTCTTCTTCTGTTCTTCTGTTCTTAGGTAGGTATTCTGATAATAGGTAGGTAAGCTACCGACTCGACCTTCTGAAAGCTTTCTCATCGATTACAGATACAATAATTTCAATTTCCATTCTTCCCTACTTTATGAAGATGAAATGTTATTTATTTTCTAGACAAGCAACTGCGCTTTCGTAGTCTCTGTTCAACTACTTCTTTTCAGAAATGATGAAAGTTTCAAATCATATTCCAAGTAAAATTCGATTTCGATCCCTATAAAAATAGATAGATCTATTTCTGACTACTTTGCCTATAATTCGTTCGTTACAGTTTCGATATCAGCACCTCTGATTCAATTGAATCAGCAATTTATTCAGCCTTTGAGTTTCAATGAAATACGCGGTATGGTGCCTCTAGTCAGCCATCAGTGTCTTAACCAATTAGACGAACACCTCTGAATCCTCTCGCAACCTCTCTACTAACCGTTAACCGTTCGATTTCATCTCTCGTATTGATATTTCACGAGAATTTCGATCTTCTGTAAACTAGCCGTAATACTCAACAAAGGAATTTCACCATCGAATCTCTTATCGTGCAAAAAACGATAGGCAACTAATCAACGTCCTTACATTTAACAGGAAAAATAAAGAAGACCGTTTTATAGTCTATAATGGCGAATGGCGAATGGCGAATGGCGAGGAGGCCGTTTTAAAAGGTTTATTAGCCTGTATAAAATCTTATCGAACTTTTATGCGGCTGGTTAAAGAGTTACTACCGAATATATCGATCGATTTCCCGTTATCTATATCGAGCAAAAAGATACGAGCGACAAGATCAGCTTACACCAGTTCGTTTTTCCTGTCTCGTCGCTTTCAATGCAATTTTTCATCGGGCTTACTTACGTATGATTTTGAAGCTTTCAATCTGTAGTCACGTATTATTTAATCGCATCTCGTACGACGTACGTCATCATTTGTATTAGATGAATATTTTTTCTACAAAATTTCTAATGATAATCTTTTTTTAATTCTTCTTTAATTTTTCATTTCTATAATCGATCTAATTGTTTAACGCGTTAATCTGTCCGTGGGAGAAAAGTAGCAGATCTACACGAAACGTATAAAAATTAACATTTCTACCGGTTTAACTGCAATTTCCCACCGTGTTCCACCGTTTTCCACTTGAACCATCAAAAACTTCCTCGAAAACTTCCTTGTCCAAGACCTAATATCATTCCAAGACAAATGCACGATGCTCGTAAATCCATCTTGCCCGAGTACTTTTCACTTTAACTTGGAATGTTGATCGAAATGTTGCAACAAATACAACTCCAGATTTTACGTATCTCATTTCAGAAGAATCCATCATCATCAATCTACAGCGAATTTTGACAAAATAACGATACTGAATTAAAACAAAACACCGTACACACAAATATGTATATCCTATCCGATGAATTCAGAAAACCGATTCGAATTCGTGCATACTCAGGAAAATCGGTGATTAATGGTGCAAGCATTCCGTAATCAATAAAAATTAAAAGAAAACTGATCACCGTGGCAATAAGTTTCAAAATTTGTTAAAGAAACTGTACCTACCACTTGAAACGTATCGTTTCGAGAATTCCGACTTTCAATTTCGCTGTTTGACAAAAAATAACAGCAATGGAACGAGAATACGTACATAATTCTTGACACTTCCCTAGAAACGAGCACGAAGAGCTGTCTGTTTGGAAACAGGTAACTCCGAACAAAGGGATTGTGAAGAAAAAAAAAAAAAAAGAAAAAAAGATAATGATAGACGTCTTTCACCTGCAATTATTCGTGCACGAACGAACGATTCGCTGCGCGATACGTTTCGTGGAAAATCAAAAGGGAACAAATCCTCTTCACAATTCCAATTAATGTCCGTTTAATGTAAATGCTCGCGTTACGTGGTACATACATATAGGATAGATTGAATTTTTCAATCTCAAGTGGGGAATAATACGGAGAGAATTTATCGAGAAAATACTTATCTTTCTTCATTGACCTTCTTGAAATTTTATACTATTAAGATATTATTTATGCAATATTTGAAGATATTTCGTTTGTAAATTTAAACGCTTAATTTTATTGTTGTTTAGAAAAGAAAAGAAAAGAAAAGAAAAGAAAAGAAAAGAAAAGAAAAGAAAAGAAAAGAATTGAGTACAAATAAAGTACATACCGATTGTGGAACGAGCCTGCGAGTGAACGATGGGATTGTTGTTGGCCTCGGAGTTGGTCGTCTGCGGTCGATCGGTTATAGAGGCAGTAGTGGAGGTAGCGATGGTACTTCCGGTGGCGGAGGTGAAGCTCGAAGTGGAGGTCGAGGAGGGGTTCGTTGCGTTGAACGGTTTAGAGGACCAGGAGCTGCAAGTATCGCAACCCTCTGCGGAACGTGTCGACAAGCGGCAGCAGGACCAACGCTTTCCACTCCACAAGCCGGCGTGGTAACGACCGCTCAAGCCCGGATTCTCGCTGCACACTGTGAACAAACCGGTGACCCCCTCGTAAATTATCCTCCACTCGACATTACCTACGATATACTTTTATTGTCAATAATTCCATTAGAATTGTGGACAAACTGAACAGACTAGAAATAATCTCTCTGCCTTTAGAATCCGAAAATTCATTCTACCGAAATATCTTCGATGTTTCGTTGGAGCAAAAAGGAGCAAAAAGGAGCAAAAAGGAGCAAAAAGGAGCATCGTTTTTCAAAACACGATGTACGAATTTTCATAATAAAAAAATTCCAAAATGATTTTTAAATCACGCAGAATCGTGTAAAATTCGTGATTGCTAATGAATGGTTTAATCGGACGATTTACCGTAGAGGAAAGCGTGGAGGAAAGCAAAAAAACGTGGGGCGATAATTAGAAGAGAGGGTGGCAGGATAAAAGGAACAGGAATAAGCCGAACTAGACTACTTTGCACTTTTGCAGGGAACCGCGCCAGGCTATCGTGTATATAATGCTTCCTCATCGATATTGTCTCCGCGACAAATTGCTCCGGGGGCCGATATCGATCGCAGAAGCCCTTAAACTACTGGAATTTCTTTCTCTCTCTCTCTCTTTTTCAATAAACCAACGAATACGTATGCGTGCAACTTTGAAAGACTTATTCACGACAAATCAACGTTAATAATAATAATAATAATTAATTGCATACAGTATATATGTATATTGAGGCATTTTGCTTTTTTCATTTTCACAAGCACCCGATTTTGAATAGTCAGTTTCGAATTTTCAAATTTTCAAATTTTCGAATCTTCGAATCTTGAGAAGAAAAATAAAATAAGAAAAAATCAGAACAATTTCATAAACGAAAAGAAAAGAAAAAAGAAAATCATTCCAATGTAAGAAAAGAAAATTTATCCGAAAGTGATACATACGAATCCGAAGAAAAACTCGTCGCATGAAATTTGAATAAGAACATTAGCCCTTTAGGACAATGTATCCATGAGAAAAGAGACGAAAATTCTTGCAGCTGAAACTTGATGCATTTACTATATGTATACACATACATACATATATGTATATAAACTGACTCGTGTGGACGACGAAAAAGTTTAAGATTCGATTTCACGTGGTGCACGACCAGGAATAATAACGAACCCACCCTCCCTCCCTCCCTCCCTCTCGTTCCATCAGATTCTTGAGAAAACTCGTTAAAAGTTGAAGCGTTCAAGCATCATCCCTCTGACAACGACAAATCAATCACTGACAGACTGAAATTGAGATGCATCGATCAATTTTTACGATTTTCACGATTTTCACGATTTTCACGATTTCCGACGATGCTTTTCGCGTATGAATCAATTTCGATGATTCTCGAGAATCTCTAAGTTTCTACATACGTCAGCTTGACGTGGAGATTTTCGAAAGGAAAATTACTGCAAACCAGTCGAGTGTAAGTTACGTTGAAGAATTCCTAGCAAAGAGGATAGAAAATAATTAAACGTGAATAGAAAAACGGAATAGAAATACGTTGTATACCACGCTGAAGTTGATGAAAATTTCATTAATATTTTTATTTTAAATAATTTCAAGTAAATACAATATCAATGCCTACATGAAATTTGATCATTGATCATCCCTCACGATAATGTTCCTAATAATTAAATTAAGACAAGCGAATGACACATTTGCTTTCCTTATTTATCCCGAATAAAATATTATATTTGTCACTGTTATACAAGAGCGTATAGTTTTCGTCTCCATTATGCCGGCTATTTATTGCCTCGTAGAGTAGATAAATTCCAGTTACCATAGATAAATCGCAACCTAAACACGTCTCTAAAGTTGATGAATAGAGTTTCGAGCAGGCGTGTATCATGGACAAAAGCTGAACGCTGCTCCTAAGGAACTTGCTGCTGCTTTCTAGCTTTCTAGTAATTTTAATGCAAACTTTCGCACAATCTTTCCTTCAACGCGTTCAGTATTTTGGCGTAATTTGTTACGTCAGTATGCGTGCAACGTTTCTTTCGAGGGGAAAAGTTTCATCACAAAAGAGACACTTTTAACCTTTTTTCACATAATTTTAGGCTGCTACGATTAACATCGATCAATTGGATTCGATACGAATTCAATTGAAAGCGTAAAATACACTTATCGTAAGTATAAAGAAAAAATTCATATTTAAAACAGTGAGAAACGTAAACGTGAAAAGTCGTAGAAGAAGGCTTGATTAAAGCAGAAAAGTAGAAAAGTAGAAACTTACCAGCACGGATGGCACGAATCCACTCAGCGCGGTCCTGCTCGCGGGCGGCGAGGAGGTAGAGCGTGTACTCTTGGCCGGCTTCTCGATAGCCCACCTGGAAGGGTAGCCCAGGTGGTATTCCACCACCTCCACCACCTCCGCCTCCACCTGCTTCGCTACCTGCCACGTCGCTGCCGACGACGCCGCCGACGCCGCCGACGGCGTTGCTCCCGAGGCTCGCCGTTTCAACCACGTGCACGCTCTCGACCGCGATTCTACCTCGTTCCTTGCGTCGCTGAGAACACAACCAACGTTCCTCTCATTATCGTTCTGCAGGAAAAAAGCATACACCTACATAAGAAGCTACATAATTCGGAAGCCGGCTTTGCCTTATCAACACTCGTGCAACGAACCGGTACCGGTACCGGTGAATAACATACAGGTGAAACTCTATTAATCGGCAACTTTGGAAATCAAATGTACCACCGTTGTAATCTTATCAACTCTACGCTCTTCAAAGTATTTATCGATTCGGTTGCCGTTTCTTCTTTCCGAGCAAATTTCAACAATTTTTTATCACCTTACAACCATCTTTCTTTCTTTCTTTCTTTTTTATTAAACTTTACCTCTGCTTTCTTCATAGATTTCTTTCCCTGCAAACAATGAAATCGCACAACTTACTGAACAAGCTTTCTCACACGACCAAGTTCACGCTTTCTTCATTAATTTCTTCCCGGACCCTTCTAAATGCATTCCTTCGTTCCTTCCTGCTTTGCTCTCCTACCTTTTACTCTTCAACCGAAAGAAATCGAATCAAACGAATTTCAATCCTATTACTAACGACAAATTAATTTATTTATTTATTAATATAGACCTTCGGAAGGTTAGTATTCGAAAAATGAAGAATAACCTGTGACAGCCCCGACTGCTAAGAACATCATCGGATCAGAGGACGCATAGCGAACGGGGTGAAGTGCGCGGAAGTATTGGCTAGGAGAACCGAGCTCTACCGTGGCTGTTTACAAAGTACGACCTCGGTTCGTAGCCGACACTCCCGTTTGGTGAGCCTGCGCGCTCTATAGCCATGCGTCTTCTAATTGCTCCCTACTTTTTTTTCATTAATTATCCAAAATAAAACGTTAACGAGCATTTTGGTACAGTACCATCAACACTCCTTTTCCTTACTTTTTAAAACATTAATATTTGAAATATTCATGGACAGCTAAAAACCAGCAGTGAGTAAAGATGACAATTGAAAGAGTAGCAAAGTTTACACAAGGTTTCAGTTCTTTTCATCATCGGTTCTGTCTATGCTTTTGCTATTTTGCTATTTTGCTATTTTGCTATTTCGCTACTTCGATATTTCCGATGCAAAACTGTATCGACAAGCTTGAGAAACCGTCGATTTCACAGCGATCGTATGAAATTTGTGTAAACGGTAGACGACAAATAGTAGCAAAAGCTTTCCGTCTCGAGAAACGTCACTTTCGACAAATACCGGCTTTTCGAAGCTTTCAGAGGAAATCGAATGGTAAAAGAAACGCGTTCGTAGAGATTTAGGAAAAACTTTCCAACCTGCCAGTTGTATAAATCGGGTGAAAAGAACATAGCAGTGTCATAGACGAAATTTTCAAGCGGAAATCGTTTGTCAATGAAACAGAGAGATTTTCCGATTTACGATCGCAAGTGCGAACCACTTGAATAAATGCACAAGCACATGTGTAGGTAGGAGAGAAAATTGGTATAAGATAGCCGGAAGGCCGGGCCGGGAGGAACCGATAATACCTGAGGGTAGCAGCTCTTTTGAAATAGTGGAAATCCGGCGAGACAAATCGAGTTTCCTCCAGCTATGGAAGGATATTGGTTGCGTGTATACACTCGAAGCTTTATGCAATAATGGAGCGTCCTGACTGAATAGCACGTGCATCGAACACACGTTCGGTATACACACGAAACGTTTACTCTAACGTTGTAATAACTTTCTCTTTGCTCCTTTAAATTTAAAATATTATATTTTTATTCATCCTTGAGTGATTACGAGCCAAAGAGATACGAAACATAGAGGGAGGGATTAATATCCTCCTATTATTTGCTACAGGCTGGAAACTGAAAGGAAGAATAGCAAATAGATAGCATGGATTTTTATTAAATTCTATCTGAAAGTAACCAGTCGAATAAACTGGTCTCGATAGGAGCAAACTGAATCCACGCTTTGTGAAGAAATCCATGCTGAATTGCTCGTTCCATTCGTAACAGGCTACTTCCAACTTTTTCTTTTCAATATCAAGGAGCAACACAGAACGACTAACGAGGCTGGTTTTTTAATTAAATGGCCCGTTTTACTTGAACCAGCAGCGAAATGCATCGTAAGCAACAAACAGTTTCCTGGGAAACCAATTGGTTGGATTTTTAGAGCGGAAGTATCGGTGAGAGATCAATCTCTCCACTTTCCGGTTCGTCCTGTTCTCGGTGAGAAACCGGGACACACCTATTGCGACTAACGAAATTTGGAAAATTTACAAGTAAAAATATTTACATCAACATTAATGTTCATTCTGTAAGACCAAAGACTAAAAGACCAAAAGACCAAAAGTTATCTCTGAGCCGAAGTATTTAAAGACGAAAGGGGATTCCTGAACCTCGAGGACAAACGGAGAACGCAATCATTTATTACTTCGGAAGAAGACCCGTCAATTTTCGCTTACCTCCACGTTGCAGGCTGTTGTTAAAACTTTGCCAAGTTTTCTAGCTACGACGAAAGGACACAACACGACACGACACGACACGACACACGACACGACACGACACGACACGACACGACACAACACGACACGGTGATCTTTTTGATAGACAACGCTTCTGCCACGTGTCAAGAAACTTGGACCAGCTGCTGCAAACTTGACGACTCAACAACGATCTATCGTACTTTTTCACCCCTCGCGGAATTTTACTTCCGTTAACGATGCAACTTTCTCGATAGATTCGAAAGTCAGCCTCCGTTCGACAACTTTCGATATGTCGAATGAATAATGAATCCCTTCAGCAGCTTCTTTAGATCTTGAAAAAAGATCCGTCGACGATTAATTGAAAAATCTCTCCGATGCTGGTGATACTATCTTTTTTCATATCTTTATGGAGATTAAACCAGTATCGACGAACAATGTTTCCATTAATTTCGTTTCTTCCAGTTGCTCTGGCTTCTTGAAACGGTACCGAAAAGAATTCGAAATAAATTGGAGGTTAATTAGAGATACTTTCAGATGCTAGATAGATATTTTGATTGAAAGATTCAGGTTTCGAGTAATTTCGATTCTTCCGTTTCGTCCTGTTGCTTCAAGGGATCCGGAAGAGATCTGCTTCTGTAACTCTCGCTTCTCAGATTTTTAATTAGGTATACTTTTAAATCGTTCCGATGAATTTTTTACAATTTTCTGATCCTTTAATTTCAGTTAAGGCTCTTCCTTTCTGTTGCATCTTCTTCAAAGAATCCAGCAAATCTTATTCGAGAAAATGAAGAATTAATTATACGGTGTTGTTCAAAATTATCAATCTTCCTCTAGCTTTTTCAAGCTTTCAAATTGAATCTTCCTCAGCTGCAATTATCCTCTTCGATTCGAAACGTAGTATATTTTTAACCGGAATTGGAATCGAGGAGCAGAAACGAAAGTCGTGCGGAAATCTAAATCGGTTCTCGCGCGCGAAAAAGGAACGAGATAAGCGTCGCGAAAACGGATTGGAAAAAAAGCAGAAGCAGCAAGCGTTTCGCAGAGCACGATTCCGATGTCGACCACTGACTGAGCCGTGAAGCATCAGGAACCCGCAACCGAGAGGCGGAAGAAAGGAGGAAGAGAAAGGTGGCGGCGGTGGCGTTCCGGGGCGCCTGCGCTACCAATTTTACACATGGTCTACGAGCACGTTATAACCACCCCCAACCAACCCCTACCAACCAAAACTGTATGGCTGGCCTACCAGCCAACGGGCTGCGTTACCCTTATGCTTACGCAGATACAAGGGTCATTCAAAAAATCAAACGAAACAGAAAAACGCTTTACATATGTATGCGTATATTATATCAAATCGTTCTTACTTGCTGTTACTTTTTTTTTTTTTTTTTTCCTTTTAATATGCAGCCTATTTCATACCCCATATTCAATTTCATTTGAATACCTTAACCTTTTCATTAGTCAGTCCATTGCCTCTCGATCGTTTGAGCCTGCAAACGCTTACGTAACGCCACGGAAAATTCGGTTGGCTGTCCAAGCAAACATCCACGAAACATCCAACGAGAACCGCTTAAATAAATTACAAACCAAAAGATTGCCGTCCTGACCATTTACAGATAGAACAACCCTATCCTCCTCTTCTCTTGCAGCCGCGCGCGCTATAGTTATATTCGGTAATTGTTAAGGACACTATTGTCGTTACAGTATCGTTCATAAGAATCTCAACTAGATTTGTAAAAGTAACTTAACGTAGAAAAAAATAAGAACCATACACCACGACACGATATACGATACAAGTACCCAATGAAACCTATTCTCATTGTCAGTTTACCCTTTCGCCTATTCACTAGCTAATGGAACGAATTCTTCTGACGATGGCGAATGATCGTTAATGAAAAGGTGATTAGCGTCTTTTACCTTTTTTGTCTACATCAAATTTTGAGAAATAGAAATAGAATGGATGTAAAAATACCTCTCCATCGCCGTCGTAATAGACGAGGTAGCGTCTGGTCAGAACGAACCAGCGTTGTTTGTAGTTGACGGGAGTGAAACGTTTCTTATTTTGAGAACGTTTCACCATGAACCCCTGTCTCACCACGTCTCCACTTTTTGGCTCCACCTTCCCATCTTTCCCCGCCATCACCGACGGAGGGCCACCCTGTCGACAGAGAATAATTGAATTTTTCATACTTTTATCATTTCCCTTCTTAAATGCGTTCATTTTATAATATTCTAGTAGTACATATATCAGCAGAAAGAAGATAGTAAATGGTATTTCTCTTATGCTCTTATGGATACATATGTATACCACCGCCCACTGAATTCATTCAAATGTTTCATTTCTCCTCGACGAGCTCGAGAAAACATCAATTACGCGATAAACTTTCAATTATTTCCATAGTTCAAATTTCTATCGGTCAATTTGCTTTTCTTCGATTCCGTTCTTTTAACCTTTTGCCTTATCATCTTCTCAACAGTTGTTATTATTACATCTGTTACAGTTAAACTACTCACTACATGTAACGATCCCTGATTATCTCAATTACTATATGTATAGTTAGAACGTAAAATTCAACTCTCCTATGAATACGATACACTCTCGATATTATTAATAATAATTCTGAATAAGAAAAACATTCATGGATCGACACTTGACGAGGACAGAAATAAAAGATACCGTAATACTTAGCACGAGTAATCTAGTCTACAGGATTTAGGACTTCTCCATTCAATTCCGGAATGACTCGTGAAGAAAGAATTTCTATTTATCGTTAGAATAGATCAGTTCAAACCTTCGATCAGCTTCTCGCAGGATAATCCGAAACCATTTTTTATTAATGCGACGACATTCAAAAACAAATTATCCAATTCAAGACTCTAACAATAAGATATTATACATATAAGATAAAACATTTCTTTACAAATTTCTATATGTATACAACAAGAATACAATATGTATAGTACAGGACACTACACGCTATGCGTGCGTCATTTATCTCAACATTCAATTCATTCGCGCTTTCAGTGAACGATCTGATACGAATTTTCAGAAATTAATCACTTTAATTTACAAATTGTACCTTTTTACTTTTTTCTCCAAGTATAGCAGTGAAACGGTGTCATTCAATTCGTCCATGCTGTTTGATCTTGTAGTAGAAAAAACCGTGAAGCGTCCTTGATGCCAATCAATTTCCTCAAACATCCTCACCAACCACTGACACGTTCCATTTACAAATGAAAAACTATCAAGTCCCAAAATTCGTACCACGTTTCCTAACCATTCAACATTTCTAGTAATAGAAAAAAGCACGAATCAATGTCTAATGCAAATGCAATCTCTAAATACCGGCGAACGTTTTGCGCGTACCTAACCCGCCCTCGACAATCCTAAGCTAAAACGCACGCAACGCGCATGTGCGATCCTTTCCTAAGCGCATGCGCAATCACAGAAAAAAGATGTTCGCGCGTGTGCGTACACCAACTTCCGGTCGACGTTCTCGAACGATTAGGAGAAAAATTTACTATACGAGCTGACGCTCTTTTTTTTCTAATTCTAACAAACGAATTGTCAAACAACTTGTGTAAACAGAAATGAAATAAACAACCTAAGTTATTCGGTGATTACCGAATCAATTGTATAATAAATAATTTCGGTTATTTGCTATGTTACTGCTATGAAATCAAATTTTTATCCATTTTTTCAACATTAAACATTTTTTTACAAATATTCAATGAAACATAAACACGTATTATACAAGTATAACAAGTATAACAAGTTTTTGCAATTGTAGTCAAAAATATATGTATATGTATAACGATACCTATCAAATGTTTTCAACTTAATCTCGCTATGAAAATCTGACAAAGTACCAACGACTAAATTTTCGACACTTTAACAACAATTTAACAAGTGCGTTAAATTCCGATTTATCGTATCCTTTGGATTTTTTCGAATACGATGTCAAAAAAAAATACAACACAGAGGAGAAAAATGCAAATCTGTTTCAGTAATTAAGCAAGAATTTTAATTATTAAAATTGTAAAGTTACCGTGTCTGGTATAATGCTTTTATAAAAATTTGGAGTATTATATTAAATCTTCATTTTTACTATCATACATGTTGCGTCAAATAAATCTGTTAGTCGAAGGATTACCTTGCAAGGGTTTCCATAAGATTCTACAAACATCTACAGAATAAATATAAATAATACCGCAATGAATATGTGTAAAACTATAAACAGATAAATGTTTTTCAAAAGACTAGAATTACTAATTGTAACTAAAACAAATCAATACAATGATACTATCAAGTACAATTTAAACTTTCAAACCACACTATTATGTACACATAATTTATACACAATTTCCATCTTGGAAATTGAATACACTCTAAATATTAAAAACATTGTAATATAGAATATTTAAAAAGCAATGCTCTAATAAAAAGCTTATTAATATGTACATACTTTTAGCGATGAGAATTTTCATTATTTTTTATACAGCTTGATAGCAATCATGACAACTTTTTACTAACAATTAAAATTTACCTATATACATTCAATACCAATTTTATACACAATTTTCCTCTTTACTTTATTTATAATTTTAAATTTCTCGTGAAATCCTGATCGTTGTGTATATCATAAATTATGAAAATTGAGGATAATCGAAAATAAAATATTAGAGCAACGTTCCTTTCAAAATTACTAAAAATAACAGAGTGGCAAGATCAACGACAACGCGGTAGTTTGTGGTTATCTTGACACTCGACTAAATGAATATTTCTACCTAAAAGTTTAGCGAGAATAACATTTATGTAAACGAAATTCATAACAAAAGGTCAACTTACCATATACCAGGGTACTGCTACCACCTCACAATTTTAATGCTTGTCAGAAACATGACCGGTGCCCAAACAAAGAATTCACGTGGAACGAACGCATACACACACCGACAATCTGTCAAACGAAGACGTTGGAAATTCACAAGATAGCAGGAAATACCTCACTACGTTAGTGAAGCAATTATCCGAAATCTCATGAAACTGTTAGAACAGTTTCTTAAACAAGATACAAGTAATCTTCACTAATTGATTTCTTTCGATTTGCTAGTTAACCTACGAAAATCCTCAATTTCAGTTCGACGTCCTGCTCGCATTAAACGTATTAAGTGGTCAGTAGAGAATACCTGTTGACTCATTTTAAAAAACAAGATGGCGGACTCGAAGACTACGTTACATGTTGTTTTGTTTTAGTTCAACAATAAATTAGTTTTCGTAAATTTATGGTGAAAATTTCGCAGAAAGTAAAAACTAGTCCTATAACTAATTCTACAGTTTTCGATGAATAAATGTTATTCCATGAATACATTGTAAATACTGTGAAATCAATGTAATGTAACCTAATATACATATACTAGCACTGATCACGCACTGTGTTCCATACATATCTAATATATATATGTATATCGAAAATGCAGAGCTAAATTCAGTGATTTAATTTTATAACATACGAACGTTGTTGTATTTTTCCTCAGTTATTAAGAAATTACTATTGTTAATGATTACGAATATTTATTATTGAATATGACATGAATTAAGACCAAAAAAAAAAAAAAAAAAAAAAAAACAAAACAAAACAAAACAAAAATAATAAGTGACTGCTACGCGCGAAATTACGGACCTGCGCATTAATTTCAGTTCTCCACAGAGTTTGGCAACAGTTTACTCAAACTTAATCTACTGTATATGTTGTGTAAAACTTATATCCATATTATCTTATGGACGCTGATATTGAACGTCAAAAATGGCAGCACCAGAAGCAATACAAGTCAGTTCGCTACCTCTGCCTCCAGTTCAGTACATAAATTTGTACACGGACGAAAATGTTCGTCGAGGCAGAGCACCTCGACCACCGCCTCCGATACATGATACTTATTCAATGTTTGGAAATACATTTAATGCGGATGATACGATTATAAGACCTCTCGAAGCTCAAGGAATTAAAAGGCTATATCCTCAACACTTTGATCGACGAAGAGAATTGAAGAAATTGAACCATTCCTTGCTTGTTAACTTTTTAGATTTGATAGATTTACTTGTACAATGTCCTGACAGTCCAAGACGTGCTGAAAAAGTAAGTATTTATTACTAACCTTCCCTTTCCTTCTTTTTCTTTTTTTGTCCTTTTTCTTCCTTTTATTTTTTTATTTTTTTTATTTTTTTGTGATATCAACTATTTTCTTCGCTGTTTGTAGGTGGAAGATCTTAGTTTATTATTCATTCACATTCATCATTTGTTAAATGAATTCAGACCACATCAAGCTAGAGAAACATTACGCGTTATGATGGAATTACAACGTAGACAACGTATTGAAACTGCGCATAGATTTCAGAAGCACTTGGAAAAGGTATGTTGTTTTGTGGTCCTATATTTAAAACAATTAGAAATGTACATAATAGACAAATAACACTAATTGTTAAAAACTTAATTTTAGGTACAGGAAATTCTACAACACGCGTTACAAATGCTACCCGACACTTCAGAACTGGATTCAAAGCTAGCAATAAACACAGATGCAATGGAATCTGTTGATCATTTAGGTTCTGAACAACATACACCTGATCCGTGTAGTTCCAGTGATCGCGTTATGTGCAAAGTTATAGACGATATGATTGCAACAAATGGACTATTTTAATTAATAAAGTATTTATATATTGTCAATTTCATTGTGTAAAAATGATTGTAATTATAGATGTAACAAGCATTGTGATGTTAATTCTAAAAACATAACTATTTTATTTATTAAATGGTCGAAAAAGAATCATTTTTCTAAGTTTACTTCATTTATACATTGTACATATTAATTAAAGAGACACGATATATAATGTAGAACAATGCATTTTATTAATGATATAGTAATAAATTTAATAAAGTAATGTTTACATACTTCAAATAATAATAAACACAAATATTTTTAGAATATTACAATATGTTGATACATACAAAGAAGTTTCCATACAATCATATAATAGTACCTAAATGTTACAAAATATTTGTACTACGTGTTAATTTAAGATGTATATGAATTTTCAATAATCATTAAGTTGTTATACACTCTATAATTATCTGTCTATACGTAGAAACACTTTACGTTATTGGGCATAAAAAATACAACATATATTATGCAATAGTAGCATTTATTAAATTAAAACGGTAATATATTCAGTTACTGTTACAAAATTTTTGTCTAATGGTGGATAGGAAAAGGACAGAATTTATTATGTTAAACTCACCTTACAAAACAGCTACCATCATTATATAAATACAAAACAATAGACAACTGTGCAACAGCTCCTGAAAAAAAGAAGATTGTATCATATTCTCTCCTCATCATCCTTCCTGGTGAATCTATAAAAGATCTAGAATCAAAAAATTATTATTTTTAATCTGTTCTGCCGCTCCAGGATCATCGATAAACATACAGCATCTGTAAAATAAAAATTGTATTATAACAGTATAATTTACTGCAATACGATCAAAGAAACTTTTAAGCTTGTAAATTTTTTAGTTAAAATGTTTACAGAAACTGAATATTTTATATATATAATTTGGTCTCAATTAGACTTATATGTACACAATCAATTTTGATAGAATTCTTTTTACATGTTTGGTTGAAAAAACGACGTAAACGTATAACAATTAACAGAACTCACAGCGATTCATATAAATAGATAAACATAAATCCATAAATACAGTTAAATTGTAATTAATAAAATGAAAAATAAAAACAATCTTCAAGTTTCTTTGATTTAATTATCATTTTGTAACTGGATGCTCTAGTCGTCTTCTATCTAACAGCTTCGGTCCTCGTTTCCTGCTGACAAAAGAAATGAAATTGGATCTAAAAGAAGGAATAGGAGAAATCAGGAGGTAAGGAAATACATTTCGATACTATTTTAACATTCACACTTATTGTAAAAGAGAAAAATTGTTTGTTTTCGCAATTATTTGTAACACCATTGACCACGTTATAACACGAACCAGCCATTCTACGGTCTGAACTTTTTAAACATTTCATATGAAATATGAACATCGTAATTAACACCTGATGTTATCTCAATCTCTTTGGGCGATAAATATACTGTCTTCGCACTGTTTTCTCTTCAGTATTTTGTGTTCTTCTTCCTGCTAAGGTACTTTATAAATGGTCTCATAATATACACTTGTTGATTTCGACTGTGTGTTGTACTTCTCACTTCTTTTCATGTGTCTATCATCCATCCGTTCATCCATTTTCGATAAATCCGAGTTTCTTCAAGTTTTTCATTTTATTTTTTTTTTTCTTTTTGCTTTTTTTTTCAGCGATATATTTAAAAAAATTCTTACGACACTATGAGTATGTTATCTCACAAAAATGTTTTTTTCTCCAACCATTGATGATATTTTGTTATAATATTAATTACCACTGTGTTTAGTAAACAACTGATTCTTAGAATTTTGTATTTGAAACTTGTACGTACTTAAAGCTCTCACAGAAACACTTTCTTTACACTATAATATTTCTATAGAACAAAAATGTTGTATTTTCTTCGTCACTTCTCTTAAAATCACTCTCTGTAACTAATCACTTATACATTCTTGATTTGTATGTACATTTTACAGGCCTGGTGTAGTTTTATATTATTGCAATTTTAACCATTCCATGCTTTCAATAATTTAAGCAATTCAAAAATTAGTAAAAATTCTTTCTCCATGTTCCACGACCTCTAGGTCTGTAACCACCTCGGCCACCCGACCTATTTCCTCTAAATCTACCTCGTCCTACAAGAACAAGAAAACAATTTTAATCACATTTTTAAATAAGATTTTTAAAAGTACCATATATTCATTTAAATACCATAGTTTGATGATATGTTCGAACTATATTTCCCACTAGGCGGAGTGTATAATTCTCTTTTACTTTTATCTTCTTTGCTACGTTTATTCGAACTATTATCATTTCCAAATGTAATTGGCGTGTGTCTTTTCTGGGCAGACGAATGTTTTTCATTCTAAAATAATAATAAAACATACTTCCAACAAGATATTCAGTATAACATCTTTAATAAATTTACGATTAATTTATTAATTACCTTCTTGTCATTAGAAGATGTTTTCCATGAAAGATATATAACACTTTTAAAACTAGGAGGTGAATGAAACAGGTCTTTGATCAAAGTATTAATATTATTTGTTGTTTTCAAAGCAACAACTTTCAACTGATTCTCATCTGATTTTAATTCCTCTTCTGATTTCCCACTGATTGCTTCGCGTAATTTTTTTATGTAACCTTGAATACCACGAGCAAAGTATTGTAATCTTAATCTAAATTCCTTGAGCTGTTCTGGATCTTTTATCAAAAATTCTGGTGTTTGTTTGCATAATTTATGGAAAGAATACATAAGACACTCAACATGGCTAAACTGTAGTTTTGGTACCTCAGTTATTTCTGCAGCTGGAGGAAGGGGCATATACGTCTGGAATTAATAAGGAACTATTGTTATTTTTTCTTTTATACCAATACGATTAAAGTACTATCAGTTTGAATATAAAATTCAAGGTGTACACAATCTTGGTGAATAGCATATTTACTGACAATAAGAGTATTATAAAGCTGTTGTACTTTCTCCTCTGGTTTATCAATTGTCCCACAAAATACAGCTAATTCAGCGAGAAGTTTTAATAATTCCAATTGTACATCTCTACCATCAGGTGAGGTAATTAAAGAAAGATGTGGTAAAACTTGTACACAAATATAAGAAACAAATCGTGATGAATCTATTTGAGACTGTAAGAAAAAATTTAGGATATTAATAAACACACAAATATCTTGTCCATATTTATACTTACACTAAAGAATGGAAGTGCATGTTTAATACACTGTACAAGTCTATTCCATTGCTCAACATTCGTGTGTTTAAATGGCTCAGATAATTCAGCTTGTTCAACTGTAATATCTACCAATTCTTGCTGTCCACTGACTGTAGAACCTAATCTAGTCCATGCAAGAACATCCATAATACTATGAAACTCGTCAGCGGTTACATCCTATAAAATTAAAAATTTCATTAGAATCAAGTAAGAAATAACATAAAAATACCTCCCTAAGATAAAGATCTTACTTGTAATACTTTCTTGCATTCAGAAATTAATAGATCTTCTGGTTCCTTAGTGATAATATCATGACCTATGGCTTTCAATTTCGTCGCTAAAAATTTAATACAACGCTCACGCGTACCATCATCACCATTTATAATTTGACTGAAAAATCCACTTATTGTACCTAAAAATAATAGTATAAAAATGTACAGAATGTTTAATAAAGAATAATATATTACAATACCTCTTGGATCAGTTTTCATAAGGGACATGACGCTATTATGAACTACAGCTAACTCGGATGGATCTTGAGCTTGAAGCAATTGAGCTAAAATATCTGCAATTCTAGCTGTATGTTCTTTATTATCTTTGCATAATGCAGGTAGATCTTTAATAGCTTGTTTCCTTATCTGTAACCACAGAATTATACTTATATTACTTATATATATATATATATCTTATAAATTACATACTCACAAATACTATATATATTTATGTATATAATGTATCACATATCGAATAAACAACAATAAAACATACAGCCATATCTTCATCTTCGCAAAGATCTAAATGAGCATCTATAGCTTGATCAGCTAATTTTGGAAAGTACTTAAAAAACCTTGCAATGAACTGCGATGCTAATCGTTTTTCTTTAGGTGATCCTTTCACAGCTGTTAGAATTTCTAAGTATTCCTTTTCATGCTGAAATATATAAAAAAAAAAATTTAATTCCACTATATTTACCATTTCTTGTAACTGATTATGTATTCAGGTAAAATGTCAAATTAATTAAACAATAAAAACATTGCTTAATAAGCTTGCAATTCTTTAAATTTCTGAAAATTTTGATACTCAAAAAGTAAATCACATATTTTGTATCTGTAAATGAACTGAACTGTAAAATCTGTATTTAAGTAAACGTGGTTATTAAGGATAACCAAGTTCGTCTATTACCTCGGCCAATTTATCTTTGGCATCCGCCAAAATGCCAAAATTTTTATACAGTTTTTCAATACTATCCGTACTCATGTTAAATCTTTTGTGTAATCGTTACGCTTAAAGACACAAAATACATAAAAATAAGCATATAACTTCAAAATCGGTGATCTAGCCGGCCATTCACTCATTCACCACGCCAAGAAACGACAAAGATGGCAGCGATTCCATTTGACTGTACATACATACACTGCAACACACTGTATGTAAGTACATACACATATATTATACGTATACACATACAGAAATATCTATGTGCATATACACTTGAAACGTAAAATGAACAAGTTTATCGTGGCGCTCAAGTCGAAAACGAAACGGTAAACGTACGTTACATATTTACATATTACCAAATTTACTGCTTTGATTAGATACTTCTTTTTTTTTAATTTTGAAAAAATGTGATCTTTGTAAATACAACATGTAATTTAAGTTCAAAAAACTATAAAATATGAAACATAGAATACAAATATTATTTTGTATGCTAACAATTTTGGTATATTACATGTATGTACATATGTAAGCACTTATATGTATGCACATATTGTGTATTTACATAATGTATGTAACATTATATTATGATACAAAGGAAATGTAATTATTTACCCTAACAAATGCGACACAAATATTCTTAAATTGCTAATGTGTACAATAAAAATAAGTAATCAGTAATAAACATTATTTTAATTCATAATAGAAAACAGTTTAATATTGTTAATAAATTTGTTGTATACATACTGATCTACACATATATACGTATAAAATATCAAGTTAAAATTTACAACTTTTCTGTAAGTTCAGGTACAGCTTTAAATAAATCAGCAACCAAACCATAATCAGCTACTTGGAAGATTGGAGCTTCAGGATCCTTGTTAATTGCAACAATTATCTTTGAATCTTTCATACCGGCAAGATGTTGAATTGCCCCAGATATACCCACGGCAATGTATAAATCCTAAAAAGATGTAAAGTTACATACAAATAATTTCATTAACGATAACAACAGTAAGAATATAATTGTGAATAAACCTTACTGGAGCAACAATTTTTCCAGTTTGTCCGACTTGTAAATCATTAGGTACAAAACCAGCATCGACAGCAGCACGCGAAGCACCAACTGCTGCATTAAGTTTATCTGCTAGACTATATAATAATTTAAAGTTTTCTCCAGATTTCATCCCTCTTCCCCCTGATACAACAATCTTTGCAGATGTTAATTCTGGCCTGTCAGATTTGCTCAACTCTTGTTTGACAAATTCTACTAATGATGATTTGTATTCACCGTTTGGTGCAGGCTCACACTTAGCACTGCCCCCTTCTAAAGGTACTGCTTCAAACGCAGTACCTCTCACCGAAATTACTTTTACATTATCTTTACATTTTAAAGTTTGAATTGCATTTCCAGCATAAATTGTACGAACAAATGTATCTGCAGTCTTGATTCCAATAATATCACTTACAGGAGATACATCTAATTTAGCTGCAACCTCACAATAAAAACTTATATATAAATTTAGAACTTTGTATATCCACAATTATTTACTAAAAATAAATTTATATTAAACTTTTAACCGATCATACTTACTCTTGGTAATAATGCTTTACCAAAGGCAGTGGCACCAGCTAAAATATGTGTAAATTTATGTTGATTTTGAGTTGCAATAATCAGAGGAGTTAATGCTTCTGGTAAAAATCCTTTAAATGCATCATTTTCTGCTACAAGCACTTTAGACACACCATTAGCTTTACTAACAGTTTCTGCTACTTTTTTACATTTATTACCAGCAACTAAAACTGTTACATCTCCGCCAATTTTTTTTGCTGCGCTTAACGCATTACAGGTAATAGGAAGAACAATTTCATTATTATGTTCTGCGATAACTAACGTAGATTCATATCGTGCCAATAACCCATACTAAAACAATATACATTTTTATTATATTTTATAACAAGTCACAATCATTATTTAATTTCTTTTCTATAATATACCTATTGCAATATTTAAAATATTTCATTTATGTTCAATATTAAAAGGTTTAAAAATATAAATACAAACTTCCTTTTGACAGATATTTATAATCATTATGAAGAAGTGTATCTTATTAAACTAATACAATTTTTTAAATATCATAAATAGCATGAATTACTATGAATTACTTAATAATTATTAAAACAAATGAAAAACGAATTTTTCGTACTCACTTTATTACTAACTTTTAGTGTTCTAAAACACGCAGTAAACATCTTTTACAACAATAATTTAAAATATTGCTATTCAATTATTAGTTCTTCAGTAACACAATAAAATTAATTTGTATCTAAAGTCCAAAGTCCTCAATAATTGGATAACAGTTTTTTCATATACGTAACTGTAATAAATATAACAAAAATTACATAAAACGTTTAATTAATGTCTCAAAAGCTGTATAATACATGTATGTATATAAATATGTAAATACATACATACACATTAACAAGTATTTATTTCTTTAGATATAAAATATATAAAACACACATCACGTAACAAGAGAAAAAATTAAATTTTTCTTATAATACATATGTACAATATGAACAAGCAATAAGAAGTAACAGTATCAGGAAAAATCTGTATTTATAATAACCTTTGTTACATAAAATTCCAAAATTGTGAGAAATTGATACATATGAATCTTTGAAAGTTTTGAAAATTCTATATTTAGTATTTATTTAATCATGTTGGTAATACATTTAGTAACATTTTCCTGCAGGAAACACTGTGTCTGAAACAGAATCCAGAATCCATCACCTATCGTTCATTCCGTCAATTGTGGAAGGAGCAAGATGGTAAGTTTTTGGTTATGTTATAAAATCTATTAACCGTATTAACATCCTAAGAACTATGTTTAAATAATTATTGAAAACTAGAAATTCAAACGTATCCAAATTCTGTTGTGTATTTCAGTCGGCTCACAAAACATTTATTATCAAGCGAAAGCTTGCTAAAAAACTGAAACAAAACAGACCAATTCCCCAATGGGTTAGAATGCGTACTGGCAATACCATCAGGTAATAATATTTTAAATATAATTATGATGTTTAAGTAAGCTAAATATTAGATATATATATAAATTTACAAACAATGTGATCCCTATTTTGGCAGATATAATGCAAAACGACGTCACTGGAGAAGAACAAAACTAAAATTGTAAATCTGCTATGATGTGTATTTGTTTTGCGTTTATTATTATGCAATTAAGTATTCATTCTTAAATAAATACAAAATTTAAAACATAAAATTGTTTTTAAATATACCGAAACTAATTTCTTAAACTATCTGAAAGTAAAATACAATGAAAAAGTATGATTACAGAATTGTTTATTTGTACATGGGTAAGTTTATACGTAATGAATTACAATGTATGGACGATTTTACGGTGATGCATATTAGTCATCCATTCTTGTAATAATTCTTCACCACTTTTAGGTGGATTCTGATAATAGTGTTTCGGTGGTTTTCCTTCTTCCAACCGTACAAAGTAATTGCAATATCTATAATGTACTGTTCCAACTCTGGCTCTAGCATGGCGTCTTATACCTTTTATTACTATACCTTTTGTTGCAAAAGATTCAGCTGAAAAATATATTAAAATTATTGCATATTCATTATTAATACAACAACATTTCATAATTAATATACTTACCAACCCACAAGTTACTCTTAAATTCAATGTTATGTTCCTCCACAGCCATGCGTTGTGCTTCTAATATAACTTCTTTTGCTATCGCTGCACCTTTCTTTTTCAGAAAACTTAATTGTTTAACAGCCTCATCCACAGTCATACCTCTTACAAAAGAAGAAATATACCACATGCTTAATGGACTGTATTTTATATTCTTTTTCATGTGACACACATACTAAAATATACAATGGAAGCATTATTTATAATCTTGCAACGAATGAACAGAAGAATGTAATCATTTTTAGAACAAAAAGTGAATTTACACCAGGTCTCTTCTCTTCACCAGGTTTTTGTGGTGGAAAGATGGTTTTGTTGTACTTAAGAAAGCTTGGACGTTCAGGTTCATCTCTATATCCGTAATATGATCTTTGTATAGTAGATAAACGATTCAAATTATTTGCAATAAATACGTTATTTGTCATAAATCGTTGTACACACTGTTTCATGGACTGCATTTCCTATAAGAAACATGTTACATTATAAACATTAAGTGACATTAAATCTTAAAAAATTTAATAACGTTTATAATGATTAAAGTTTGAAAAATTTGAAGATAACAAAGCATAACCTATACACTGTGATATATCATGATTATACATTATTGAACTAATTCAAAAGATACTTGCGTTTAATCAGAATAATTAAAGAATTTTTTAAAATTAAAAACCAAAGAACTGCTGTTTAATAATTCGTCATGAAAGATAGTTTTTTATATACATGCATTTATTTATATACATATAAGTAACACATAAACATACTATGTTCAATTTAGCGAAAACTATTGATTTAAAAATATTCCTATGTATATGTGTAATTCCATAGAGGGAAACCAAATATGTTAAACGTGGTGCCATCTATTCAAGTATCAGAAAATTAATCCAGTCTCATACACGATATCCAACCATCGCAATTCTAAAGTTCCCTCTGTTGTAAGTACTAATTTCTCTTTGCATAATTTCATACATACATACTTGACAAATATCAGTTACAATCTTTTATTTGCTTTCAAGTATTACTTCTATTACAATTTAAGAAATATTTACTTGACTATGTAGTTGTAATGAAACGTCAATTGTGTGTTTGAAGTTATTATTTTTAAAGATTTTATGAATTTCTGAACTGTATTCTAGATCAGGAACAAGTGCGACTGGTTTCTGTTAACGAAGGTATCTTTCGATTCGCGATTGATAAGTCACGATTAAAAAGAAAAATTTTCACTTTTTATATTGTATAAAGACATATCAGATTCATATTGTTTTGCATAATTTAAGTTTTTCATATTTTTTTTATTACAGAAAAAACGACTGAAGATTTATATTAAGAAAACTTAATAGGAAAGTACATAATTACATATATACAGCTAAATATTCGAAGAGGAACAAGTTAATCATATTTTAGGTTCAATTTTGTATCAGGTATATATTAAATCGCACGAGATTTAGAAATATAATTACTCTTTCGTTATTACTATTAATTATAACACAGAAAATCGTTCTTCGATACACGTGTAATTGTGGAAAAATTATGGCCACATGGGATGGTTCTGATTCTAAACCAGACGATCAAAATTATTATACATATTTTAATGAAAATATTACTGGTACTGCAGCAGGAACCTGGACATTCTTTCCTAATAATGTAAATAATGAGTATATACCAGCTAATCGCGAATATTATGTACAAAATGAACCTTTATTTGAGCATAATGACCCAAATACTTCCTATCGTACGAACACAGATGGTTGGTCAATGTCATCTGTAGCCAGTATTTATCAGAAACATGTAATGAGTATAGTAGATAACGCTGAAATGTCAGGCAATCAAAAATGCTTTACAAGTACTATTAAACCTCAACAAAGTTTTGCATCTAATAACCATTGGAAGGATGATTACAATTTAGAAACAATTGAAACTAAACATAATTTGATAGAAAGAATAAAGAAAACAGGTAATTCGAATCTTCATGTTACGGCTGAAGAGTTTGTGCCAAATAACAGAGAATTGGATGATAAAAGATTTAGATTACAAAATACAAGGTCTATCAATACTACGGATGCTTCTATTAAAGATAGTAGCGAAACATTAGACAAACATACATTTTATAATAATAGTAGACACGAAAGAAAATACAATACTAGGAGAAACTCAAATTATAAACCTAAAGAAGGACAACAGGATAATCAATTTCATAAACGAAATACATATAAAAATTCGTATCAACAAGGAAAAGTCTCCAATAAATTTCAAGGTAATAAATGTTTTACTAACAAATATTATTCAGATAAATCACAGGCAGATGTAAAAGGTATAGATGAGAATGTATTAGATAAGGATACAATGAATAATACAGATGCCTCTAGTAGTAAAGAATTTTATGCAACAAGTTTAAATAAAAGTGAATTATTATCGAGTATGGAAATAAATTTGAATAACAATAAAAGAGCATTAAACAAGAGGAGTGGTGAAAGTAGTACCGTTAGAGATGAAGGTTTACAAGAAAATGATACAAAGCATTGTAATAATCAGGTTAAGGAATTCGCTTACTATGGTTCTGGTTCAAAGCAATTCCATAATAATCGCAGAAACACAAAGAAGTATCCGTACAATATTAAATACAACAGAGAAGAAAATAATTTTAAAGAAAAGAGACGGAATTATCAAGGATATAGTAGAGAAAATTTTAGTAAAGAGCATAAATCTAAAGTAAAGGAGCAAATGTGTAGAAACGGAGAACATAACGAGCTTCGAGAATGTTGTAGAGACGAAATGGGACTTGAAACAAAGGAAATAAAAGAAAAGAAATATAATTACCAAGGGTTTAATGAATCAAAAGAATATAACAAGGAAAACAAAAATGAAATTTTTAAAGAAAAAGATAGAAATAAAGGTTCTGTATTTGTTGAAAATAATGAAAAAGGAAATGAACATTGGAATAACAAAAGAGAAAGCAGCGAAAGAAATAGTGTTCAAAAATGGGGAAAAAATAAAAAATCTTATGTTGGTATGTATATGATTTTATTTTTTCATTGTAATATAATAATAATAATAATAATTATCATTTCATTACTTTATAATTATATAGATGACGACGCCAATCAAAGGGAGAGATTAGCGGATCAACTAAGTAGGGGGCAATTAGAATGTTTAGTATGTTGTGAATACATTAAACAGAATGATTATATTTGGTCATGCTCTAATTGTTACCACGTTCTACATTTAAAGTGTATTAAAAAATGGGCAAAATCGTCGCAAGTAGGTAAGTAACAATTTTCAGAATATATGATATAAAAATAAAAGTTTTATAAAATGTTCACTATACGCATCTGTTTAGAAAATGGTTGGAGATGTCCAGCGTGTCAAAATATGAGCGAAACGATTCCTGAAAACTGTTACTGTTTTTGTGGCAAGACAAAAGCACCTGAATGGAATCGTAGGGATGTTGCACATTCTTGCGGTGAAGTTTGTGGTAGACTACTATCAAAAAATTGTACTCACAAATGTACGCTTCTCTGTCATCCAGGCTCTTGTCCACCGTGTACAGCAATGGTAACAAAGTATTGTGGTTGCGGTAAAACATTGCAAACAGTCCAGTGCAGCGGCCATAAATTATTGCTCTGTGATTCTATATGTGATAAAGTCTTAAATTGTGGTAAGCACAAATGTGAAAGACAATGCCACCACGGAGAATGTGAAAATTGTAATAAAACAGTAACGCAAAGTACGTAATTTTAATAAATTTATATTTCTCTGTGTTATGTTTAAATATAATTACAAACGTATATAATAAATTTATTTTCAGTATGTTATTGCGGTAAAAATACAAGAGATGTAACGTGTCAGAGCAATATTTCGCTTACATATTCTTGCGAGACTACTTGTGGTAAATTATTAGATTGTGGTAATCATACTTGTACAAAGTTATGCCATGCTGATGCTTGCGAGTGTTGTTCTTTAACTCCGGAAAAAATTACAACTTGTTGTTGCGGACAGACGCCATTAACAGAAATAAGACAAACTTGCTTAGACCCAGTTCCAGTATGTGATAAAGTTTGTTCCAAAAAACTAAAGTGTGGACAACCTAGTGAGTAGATATTTAAAAAAAAAAAAAAAAAAAAAAAATGATTATCTAATAGATAAAAATATAATTGTATATTGTTTATAGGTAATCCTCATAGCTGTAAAGCAAAATGTCATCAAGGGGATTGCCCTAACTGCGACTTAACTACCGATGTTAAGTGTCGTTGCGGAAATATGGACAGAGAAATAGCTTGTAAAGATTTAACATCGAAAGCTGATGACGCTCGATGTGAGAAGAAGTGCACAAAAAAACGATCTTGCGGAAAGCATAAATGTAATCAGTTATGTTGTATAGAAATAGAACATGTCTGTCCATTGGTGTGTTCTAAAACCTTAAGTTGCGGTAGACATAAATGTGAACAAAGTTGTCATAAAGGTATTGTGTCATTTACGAAAAATTACTAATTACTAATTAGATTTTACATAAAACGAATTTATAAATTAATTTATATAACGTTTTTAATTTATAGGGAGATGTCAACCTTGTTGGCACAGTAGTTTTGATGAATTATACTGTGAATGCGGAGCTGCTGTTATATATCCTCCTGTTCCTTGCGGTACGAGAAGACCTGCTTGCGATAGGCCCTGTTCTCGTCAACACTCTTGCGGCCACGAAGTACTACATAATTGTCACAGTGAACCAACCTGCCCTCCTTGCACTGTTCTTACTCAGAGATGGTGTCACGGTAAACACGAACTTCGAAAAGCTGTTCCATGTTATGTTACTGAAATTTCATGTGGTTTACCATGTAATAAACCTATATCGTGCGGTCGGCATAAATGTATCAGTACTTGTCATACGGGCCCATGTGAAAAACCAGGACAACAATGTATTCAACCTTGCACTACTCCAAGGGAAATGTGCGGACATGTTTGTGCAGCTCCCTGTCATGAGGGTAAATGCCCAGACACTCCGTGTAAGGAGATGGTAAAGGTAATAATTACATCTCGTATACGTATGATTATTTCTTTATCTTTTTTCTTTTTTCTTCTTACCTTTCTTAACCACCAATAAACGTAATATCTATACAGGTGACATGTCAATGTGGACATAGATCTATGTCCCGTGTGTGTGCTGAAAATTCTAAAGAATATCAGAGAATAGCAAGCAGTATATTAGCTAGTAAAATGACTGATATGCAGTTGGGTCATTCTATTAATTTGGACCAAGTATTCGGCCAAGGTGCAAAGAAGCAAAATCAGTTGAAAACTTTAGAGTGCAACGATGAATGTAAAACGATAGAACGTAATAGAAAACTGGCGCTAGGTTTGCAAATAGTGAATCCAGATTTAAGCGGAAAATTAATGCCTAAATATAGTGATTTCATGAAACAGTGGGCTAAGAAAAATCCGCAGTTTTGTCAAATGGTTCATGATAAATTAACCGAATTGGTTCAATTAGCGAAAACTTCCAAACAGAAGTCTCGTAGTTATTCTTTTGATTGTATGAACAAAGATAAGCGTCATTTTGTTCATGAATCCTGTGAACATTTTGGCTGTGAAAGTCAAGCGTATGATCAAGAACCAAAAAGAAATGTCGTAGCTACTGCTGTAAAGGATAAGGTAATAATGTTTCCTTTCCTTTCCTTTCAACGGCTCCAAATAAATTATATGTATATTTCTTTTTCAAAAATATATGTAAATTTCTTGTAGTGTTGGTTACCGAGCTATAGTTTATTAGAAATCGTGCAGCGAGAAAATGGTCAAAGAAAAGTTCCAGGTCCGATGCTGAATACCTTAAAAACCGATGGACCTGTAAAGTAAGTGTTTTACTTTCTGTACATTTCTAACATACAATTTTTAATATTTTTTTTCCTCCTTTTCTTTTTCTTACAAATGAACAGGTCATCACAATTTTTGTTTAAAAATTTTGTTTATTAGGACAATATTATCACTGCCTACACAGAGGAGCCAAAAAACAGAAATACAGTCAACCGCGAAGACAGCTGAACCAGAAATAGATTACTTTGATTATCATGGTTAAAATAATTCTTTATGTCATGTACATACAAGTGTAAGTAACGGAGATGATACAGTTAATGTCGTAATGAAAAAAAGAAAAAAAAATATATATATATATATTAATGCAATTGATCGATTAAACATTTTAACGATCATTGTAAAATATGGATTCTGTCATGACGTTACGTTGCAAGTTGTGTAAATGATACTTATTATATTAGTGCACTGAACTTGTATAAAAATTGTAAAATTACAAAAATTAAGATTTAACGAAGACAGAACAATTTCATTTTCATTCTATACTTAATACCCCCATTTATTAAATAAAAAATTAAGTATATGTATATTATGGAGTATATGCATGTATGTACTCCATAAAATTAACAAAAGAATTTACAAAGCAATATTTTGACGAATTATGTATGTACTTTAGATTTGATTTTACAATAATTTTATTAAATTTTATCGGAATAATTACGGGTATCGTTTAATAACAATCCAATTTTTGTCGATAAAAATAGTGTTTTATTGTGCACTGTTCCTTCGAGCAGTATTTATATATCAGTTCAATGAAAATAATACCATTAAATATTATACATTAAATCTTATATAAATATTGGTTTATATTAATAATTTCATAAGCCACCCAAGTCAATTTTTATAAACATTTAATGTAGGTAACACAAGTATGTATTTGGCACATTGAACATTGATAATATATTACACTATATACTAAAATCTAATATAGTTTCTAAACAAATAGTCAATGAGACCTTTCATGCTTATGTAAAGTATCTGTTGCTTATTTTGCAAAATATTTCACAGTCTACCAATCACTAATAATTTGTTATTATTACATTAATATACAAAACTGACACATTATATTGTTATTTGTTTCAGGAATGTATATAATAAGTGAAAGAAACGAGCGATAAATAATTTAAGTATCTAATCGAAGAAGAAATGTAATAAATATGTAGAAAAAGCTAAATGCAGTGGCATATTTTCAAAATAACAAATAATTCGTACATATGTATACATATAACAGCAGTCTCTTTTCTCATAAAGTAGTATCTTATTGGACACTTATTTACATAAGCGTAAAAGGTCTTCTACTCTACACATAAATTATGTATCACATGTAGGATCACAACACTGTTACAATTTGTATTTGTAGGTAAATTGATTACACATCAGTTGTAAAGAGTTCTTGTCGAACATTTGATAGTAGGGCACTTCAAACTTGAACTGGTATTATTACTACTAATTATCATTTGGTGCAGTAGACATAGAGTAAAAACTTATTTGTAAGTGATTTTTTATCTACTATAACACTTTTTCTTTTATATACAGAATTTAAGATTTTTTCCGTAGGAAACAGTAGTATTTTTTAACAGATTCATTATTCTATTACAGTATGAAAAAATGTTATTTTTGATTTAACATATTTCTCATAAAAATTTGATAAAGAGACAGAAACTTAAAATATTATCAAAATAACTTTTTTTTTTTTTTTCAACTAATCTACTGTAAAAATAGAAATATTTTTCAATCAAAATATATTCTTTAGAAGAACATTTCTTGTGTAAAGTTTCTTTTAAAAATTTGATATATGCACTTCACATATATGTATATGTATATTTATATAAGATAGAACACACTGTTCTTGTTTGGAACAATATAATGATCTATTGCTCTATTTACTTAAACATTTTATTTATTAGACTTCTTTATATTATTGATTTATTATGATCATAGTTGATTATGATTAAAAAAAAAAAAAAAAAAAAAAAAAAAGAGAGAGACAAATATTGTTACTTTTTACGCGATAAAGGAAATTAAAAATTGTTTCAAATTGTTAATAATAACACAAATCTGAATTATATTTTTAAGTTTGTTCCTTTTTTGTTTGAAATACTATTAACAAGTAAGGTTTGTTATGTACTGATTTTAAGACGTACAAAATTATTCGTAATCTTAATCATAAGAAAAAAAGTGGTACAAGTAATACTCTTTGTGAGTTTGAAAACGTAAACACACAAGTAAAATATAAAGTTTCAAAAATATTTGTTTTGGCATATCAATTCTTTGGTTCTATACGTATATGTATATGTAGATTTAAAAATATATTGCTTCATAAGTAAGGATTATTACCTCGTTTCACATGTATATTACAGTTAGGATAACCACTCAGATACTGATGTCGCGGACGAACTGATGGTTGCTTAGTAATACTTGCCATTGCCCATCCCATTATCAATTCTATACCTCTACACACAGTTTGATACATAAACCAGGGCCATGGTCTAGGATATTGTGTGATAATGGCCCGTGTACCATATGTTACACTTTCAGCTAAAAGACCTAAAAATTTGAAATAATAATATTAACATTAATATTTGCATTTTACGCATTAAATCAGAAAATATAACATTACATACTTAATAAATTTGAACAATAATAATTTTGTAGTGGATATTACATTACCGTACGGTCCGAAGATACGTGCTACGTCCGTAATGCATAAAATAATTCCTAAAATTGCGGTTGCATATGTAATGTTCAATACTTTTCGGATTTGCGATCTTCTAATTGCTGCAGTGTTTGCTTCTAATATATGCAAAGGTGTATCAGATTTTGTTCTGTTTACGTATGCAATGTGATTCAATATTGAATGAAGCGTGAAATCGCTACTCTGAAAATAAAAGTTAAAAAAATACAAAGTAAAGTAAAAACAATCCATCAAAATGAAAAATGAAAAATGAAAAATGAAAAATGAAAAATGAAAATCAACGCGTAATAATAAAGTAAAGTAAAAGTACCGCAATTTTTCCTTCAGGCTTCGTGGTTTCAGGAAGTAAATTAGTCTCAACCGTTATATCTTCAATATCTTCTTTCTCTTTCTCTTTTTCGTTTTTCCAGGATAAATTTTTCTTTCGTGTTTTTCCATCATCATTATCTTTATCTTTATCTTTATTCTTTTCAGTCATTAGAGCTGCCTTTTCACTACAATCAGGTTGATCCGAATCAGATTCAGATTTTTCTTGTATTTCCATTTTTTCAGGAACTATACTACGTCCATGAGTAGGACTTCTACTTAAAGTTCTGATACTTATGTCGCTACTCCGACGATTTAGATCCAGCGATTTCATCTGACCAAGTTTCGAATTGTCTCGGAAAGAAATATCTGAATTTCTTCGTAATTCAATTCTAGAAGTAAAGCCGCTAATATCTGAATTACGTCTTGAACCTAAAATGTGATAAAAAAAAAAAAAAAGATTGTAAATGTTTTACGAACCAAGTTCATACGGTAAATATTTTACCTGAAGGACTCAAATCCATAACTTTTGGTAATTTCGAATGTTCATTTGTAGGTAACATTCGTCTCGGTGTCCTGTTTCCAAAATCGCTATTTCTTTTCAATTTAGCAGCAAATTGAGAACTTCTGTTTTTTTCGTGTGAAAAGTCAGAACATCGTCTTAAATCTCTAACGCTTCCTATTGGTGTAACATTTTCAGAATATCTTCTGGACATTCTATCCGGTGATCGTCTTCTATTAATTTCGGGTGAATGTTTAGGACTAAAGTCGGAATTGCGTCGATATCCTGATGTAGCGAAACCATCCTCTTCGTTTATAAATCTAACACTGCATTCTGAGTTTCTTCTAGAAGATTTAGATGCATCGCTGCTCCGTCTACTGGCTACGGAGCTTCTACGGCTTGGGCTGGTTACCGTTATTATAGGTTCATTAATTGTCGATGGTGTAGGTGTTGGAGGTCTGACATATACTTCTGGCACCGTTGACACAGGAACTACTTTCTCATCCTGCGATATACTTTTACATGGAGATTTGTTAAAATCTCTTTGAATCTGCTCTTTCTTAGTTACTTTAATGAGTCCATCTATATTATTAAGAAGATAAAGATTGAAGAAACTTAACGTTCGCGTTCATGTACCTATGTATATATATATATATATATATATATATATATACATTTTTTTTTTTTTTCGTTACCTGTGGAAGTTTTGTTCGAATCGTTTGTAAAAGTTGCAGGTTCGGCTTCTTCTACATCTTTAACTTTAGAATTGAGCAAAGTAGGTACTAAGGCAGCAGCAACAGATGATGCTAAGTTATTATAGGGTGCTAACATAGCTAATTGCATAATGCCTAAAATAGTATTGAGTATCCTCATTAATTGAACTTAGATCATCTACACGAAATGTCCTAATAAACATGTAGTTTTGCTTAAAATAAAACTAGTATATAGAAATGAACCTTTGTGATGTATATTCGAATTATCTCTCATCAGCATACTACTTGGCACAGTTTGCAGTAGATGAATTATTTTATATCCTGCATGTAGGAATATCAAATACAAAAGAATACTCCAAATAAGGAACAATGTTTGGACCACGTATTTCACCATGTTACAGTTATGAGAGGTAAGAGCAATGTCGCTAGCGATCACAAAAACAAAGTGTGCTGTTATAACTAAACTGAGACAAGATTCTTTTTGTAATTTTTCTGGTCCAAATTTAAGCTGAAAATTTATTGAATTACATATTAGATAATTTCTTTCTTTTTTTTTTTGTTACAATGTGGAGATTATTTGGATAACATAAATTACCTGAGTTAACTGCAAAAATGCCAATTGTATAAGACTAAAAGCTGACGTGACACAGGGAAATCCAATATCCCATATCACAGATCCAATAATTTTGGGCATAATATCTTTAAGATTATACGGATCTATAAAGAGACAAGTTGCCCTTGATGCTCCGAGTATACATAAAAACATATTAATTGTAGTCATAAAAGGCCGGCTAGATATAAGAGATCTAGAAAATGAGACAAACATTTTATGTGATCGTATATCTTGAAAATACTAAAAATATTAAATATTATTAATGTATACCTTAAATGTAAGATAGATAGAAATGTATAAAATGCAAGTACAAAGAACAAACAGGCGAAACCATATGTATGTAAAAGAAAAATCCATTTCAATTCTTGATTTATTGACACCAATGATGGAGTTGTGATCAATAATTTATCTAATATTGAAGATGCTGACAAATTAGAAACACAGTTTTGTCCAGGTATTGGTGTAGTAACGTTCATACCTATTGATAAAACATAGATGATTATTATTATTATTATTATTATTATTAATGTATTTCAATTTGTGATTCTTCAAACAAAATTATTAAACATAATGCGGCAAAACAAATGATAACATAAGGAGCAACTGACCACCAGTCCAATTAGTAAGATTATCCATAATCTCTGGATTGATGTTCACAGCACATCACTAACTTTAGTTCTAATTTTGAAATTTGAACAATGGAGAATGAAACTTTTCCAATTGAAACGAACAAGTTATCGCAAGAACGAAGTTTGAAATGTGGCAGCAGCAACAGGCTTTGCTTATAGAGTAGTTGTAATCGCACCCCTTCTCTGATTCGCGTCTATCCTCGTCTCTTACTCTTACCCTTCCGTTAGAAATATTGATTTTACACAGAGAGGGTTGGAGGGAGAGTTCAGACCATCCTAAGCTTTTACGCTTGTCAATTGTTTATCTTTAGAATTTAAGTAGAGCATTGCTAAATATATCAAATTAATTCAGTTTTACCGTTTATTATTACCTTGTTACAACCATACGCATATCATTTTACTATTTAAGTCTCATCTGCATATTTTTTTTTTAACATTCTGTTTTTCATTGATACTAAAAATGTTATTATTCCGTCGTTTCAACTACACATAGAATTATATTTATAACAAATCTGAATTTGACCATCCTTTCTTGATAATTCTCACAAAATTTGTTTAATAATTTTATTACCTTATATATTTATATAAAGATTTGAAAAATAATAACAGGTATTACTTTTTTCTTTTTATCTAATTTTTTACATTTTATACAGTACATGTAAGATTTTATGAAAAGTTGAATGAATACATATTGTAATGGCTAGAAAAAATGAAACTTGTTAAGGAATAAATGATCCACAGTAGCAAGAGGTAAACTCTATATTTAGATCCAAATCAATTACCTTTCTGTCATTTTCTGCGACAGGCGTCGTTATACACCAGTGAATAAGCTTCTCTAGTTTCAATAAGATGTAAAAGTATCTTCATTAAGGTGACGTCGAACGGATGAATTGCTATGCTTGTTGGCATGAATTGTAATATCTCGGTACTTGAAATATTCAACTGGATTGAAAGTTTAAAATATTTATCTGAAATTCAAGACTATTAGTAATAGAAAGAATCATTAAAAGACATTGAATGAACTTAAAACATAAGACAAAAATTAAGAAATAGTATTACAAATAAACAGCTTTTTATTATAATATGACATTTACATTTCAGTTCTTTCTATTTTAAATATATACTTGGTAACAGCACAATACAAATAACAGAAACAAAAATAAACTCATTATTATGTTAATATTATTACAAAAACAGCAAATAAGATCCTTGAAATGTTAAAAAAGTACACATTAAATTTATTCAATGGATTTAACTGTGATATTATAATTTTTAAATTGTTATATCTTATATGTTTTATGTGAATTTAGTATTTATTTACATACCTAGTATACAACTATCACGAAAATGCTATAACAGACTTGTATACATATATTAGCAATGATATTTTTAAGCTAGTCAATGAAGTTGACACGCTCTGACTGCTACTAATTGTAAAAGAATAAATATAGGACTCAAAACTTCAGAATATTCTAAAGTACTTTGTCCTGATAACTTTTTACACAAAAGGTACTTAAAAACAAATATTAGAAGCAGCGATATGAGACTCCATAATCCTCGCAGAATAGCATCTTTGAGCATTCCTCCCATGTGCATCCTTATAAATATAATTGCACAAAAATAGGTGTTTAAACCGTCCGCTACAAAAAGCGGTGAAAACACTACCCACCATCCTGAATGGCCCAAAAAATAATTATCATCCAACTTAAGAGCTAATAACACTGTAAAAATTGTTAACGAAACTAAATTTATCCATATTTCAAAAATTGTTAAGCCCAACCAATGTACTAGCTCATTTAAAGAAAATATCATTTTAGGGACATCAAATCTGGCACAATTATTAATTTATTTGTATACGATCGTTTATCATGTTGTGAATATTTTTTGTTTATTCATTATTAGAATAGTCTTAAAAACCTTTGACAATTTTTTGTAAGTTGTTTTATTCTTGGTATTTAAGACTACCTATTGAAAATTTTCTAAACACACGGATATGTATAGCTGAATTATTTCTATTAACAGTTTCATAGTCAGCCTCGTCGTTAAGAGGTTCAAAATCATCTGCAACGAATGTAGATTATTACTATTACTACTCTTAATTATAAGATGTACATATTTAACATTGATATACCAATAATAGATGTAGTAGCAGTCTTGATATCCAATTCTATTCCATTGTAATGAATTTCTTTTAATTGTAAAGCCAAATTACAAGCTCTATGTATAGCAGCACCAAGGCCGTGAATAATTATTTCAGGAGTACCATTGTCAAAAAGTCTCTCACATTTTTTTAACTGGGCCTAACGTTATCAAAAATATGATAAAGACAATTAATTGAAAAATATATACATCACATGTTTACATACTCTTTGTACTGTTATAATATGCAATATACATACATACGTATATCATATGAATTTATTTAGTACATAGAAAACTTTGCATATATATATATATATATGTAATTTCATCAAAACAATTGACAATGATATAAGAGAAGGTTATAATCTATTGCGATAATAATTACCTTGAAGTTTGTTTTATTAGTTATAAGTATATCTTTACCAGTTTGTCTTTTTAAACCGAAAGGTTCTCGCTTTTTAACAGAATAATCACAAGATAATAATTTCTTGTGTTTCTCCTTAAGTACGTTCCTTTCCTTTGAAAAACTATTTTTCAACTCGGAACATTCATGCACATCGGCCATTCTGACAGTATCAGCACGTTAAATATTTCTTACTAAGTTTTTACGTGTATAAAATTATTCTCGTTAGCCGAAAACTCGGATTAAATAGAAGAATCAGTTAAATCAATCGTGTAGAATTTTTAAATGGTAAATATAATTATTGAATCAGTCAGAACGATCAAGTATAACCTCGAAAGTTAAGGACATCGATTGATGGGGCGTTTTGACAACGATTTAGTGCATTCCACTGGAAAGAAGTAAGATTTTTTGTTCAAGCTTAAAATTGAGAATTAAAAGACAATGAAAGAACCCGAAGTGGATCCGAAGAATATTATAAAAAGCAGAGAATTGCTTTATAGACTTATGATCAGGTTACGTATCTTCTTTCTTTCAATACGTAATTTCCTTAATACATTAGAAATGTATTAATGTATTTAAATATAAATATAACTATATAGTCTTATCAAGATTAGCGCTTGTCGATAATTTATAATACACTTTTCAGTCAATTATTTTATGACGGACACCAAACATTGGCTGTACAACTGTCGAATATAATTCAAGCAGAACCTCCGTGTCCACCATCCGATCGTCTGCTTCATTTAATGTTAATCGGGTTAGCCCATGAACCTGATCGTTCTAAAAAGGATACAAGTAATTTATCCACATTTGCCTCGACATTTGACAATACTTTGGGACCTGGGCTTGATTTGGAATTTGAAACAGAAGCTCAGACTCAAGCTCCAGAACCGGCTCAGTACGAAACTGCCTATGTGACCTCTCACAAAGGAAATTGTAGAGCCGGAGCATTCTCTGCGGATGGTCAGTTAATAGCAACCGGATCTGTGGACGCGTCGATAAAAATTTTGGATGTAGATAGAATGCTGGCTAAGTCGGCACCCGATGAAATGGCACCTGGAGATCAAACTGGTGGTCATCCAGTTATAAGAACATTGTACGATCATTTAGAGGAAGTGACGTGTTTAGAGTTTCATCCAAGAGAGCCTATTCTTGTGTCAGGAAGCAGAGACTTTTCCATTAAGCTGTTTGATTTCAGCAAAGCTAGCGTTAAAAAAGCATTTAGAACTATTACAGATGCAGATCAAATACGTTGTTTATCATTTCATCCGACCGGTGATTTTTTGGTTGTTGGAACAAATCATCCGGTTGTAAGACTGTACGATGTTAATACAGCACAGTGCTTTGTCTGTAGTATACCAAGCCATCAACATACCGCTGGAATAACCAGCATAAAGTATTCCCCAGATGCAAAAACTTACGCGTCAGCCGGTAAAGATGGCAGTATTAAGTTGTGGGATGGTGTATCAAATCGATGCATAAATACATTTGTGAAAGCACACGATGGTTACGAAGTATGTTCAGTAACGTTCACAAGAAATGGAAAGGTTTGTAATATTGAAAGACTATGTCTTTTATGTTATGCGTATAGATTTTGAAACGAATCGTGTAATTTTTAATTCTGCGTTTCAGTATTTATTGTCATCAGGGAAAGATTCTTTGATAAAATTATGGGAACTGTCTACTAGTAGATGTTTAATAGCGTACACAGGTGCTGGAACTACAGGTAAAATATGAAAATGCCAAGTATATCCAAATCATAAACATCATGTCGTATAATGTTCATTACATATTGCGTTAATAACATTCGCTGTAATTAAAGACTATTTTTTGTGATAGGCAAACAAGAACATAAAGCCCAAGCTATTTTCAATCACACTGAAGATTATGTAATGTTTCCTGATGAAGCTACAACATCATTATGCGCGTGGAATTCCCGAAATGCATCGAGGAAACAATTATTATCATTGGGACATAACGGTCCAGTAAGACTGATCGTTCATTCTCCGACCGCTCCAGCTTTCTTAACGTGCAGCGATGATTTCAGAGCAAGATTTTGGTTTAGAAGAATGCCGACACATTAGATTGGCATTTGGAAGACAAATAACTAGATATACAAAAACATACAAATTTAATAACTAATTCACAGTTACACACAGTATTTAATTGCCGTATGTTGAAGCGACTAAGGTTTATTTCTATAATTTATGATAAACTGATATACCATCTACAATAATTAAAATATCAACTATTGTACGCATTCATTTTTCGCATTACTTTGAAGTAAAAAAAGGACGACAGTGTCGTTTTCTTTTGATACCAGTCCACGTTGATATCAATGTTATTAATATGCGAACTGTTACGAATGACGCAAGAATTTGCGTGTCTATTAAATCGTCGATTATGACAATTGAAAACAATTGGCGTAAAATGTTTTCATTTTTTATCGCCACAGGTAAGTAATGAAATGAAAAATATTTTTTACGTAACAATTCATATTCGTATGGTAAGTTTGTGAACGCATTTTGCATTTGGTTTTCTCACTTTTAGTAAATAGAGAAGAGAGAAGAGAGAAGAGAGAAGAGAGAAGAGAGAAGAGAGAAGAGAGAAGAAAATGCAAGAAGTAATATGTAATAACTACATATTTTCATAATTTGGAAAAAAATTCTTAAACGACATCGTAACGGATCTTGATAACCAGGTTACGAAGTATATCAAGAGATATACATAAGAGTAACTGACTGAATGTGCGAAAGGATGATAATAATAAAAATGAAACGATTGAATTTAAAATGTTTTGTCCGCCTTGCGTCGCTACGTGTTGAATTACTAAATTAATCACAAGGCGGCGCTCTGAACTCCCGCTCTGTGTTTGACGATGTGTCACGTGACCCACGCTAACCGCCATCTTTGCTTATCGTATAAACAGTGCGACCGGGCTCAGCACGAATTCTTGTTGGGAAATCGTGGTTTTTCCAGTGTTTTTGAGTGATTCAGAGGCAAAGAAATGTCCGAAATTAAGGCGGAGAGCAAGAACGACAACAACATCGAGGATGTGTCAAAGGTAAGCAGACGGAAGCACAAGAAACATCTTCATCAAGCCGAGTTTTCATGCTAAGGCGGCGTGTGCTCCCCTCACAAATGTAAGGAGACACTCGTTTTCTCGAAAATTCGATGCAATAATACGTGCTACAACGAAGAAACATTATTTGGAAAGTGATTACGCGAGATACGAATCTATGTAGCTAAAAGACAGGGGTGCTTTATTGCGCGTGGTCACGGACTCGGTGATTTTTCAAAGCTGCGCCGTTTGTCCTTCATTGGCAAAGATGGTGGATGTTTTTTATTTGTGACTCCCGTGACGAGGAGAGTCGCTGGTTAGCGGCAGTTAGGATCGTATCAAAAAGGCGGGAAATGGATTTTAATGTTGGAATCGTATAGTGTGCGATTTTCTACGAAAATGCAATCTATTTTTTTTTTTTTTTTTTCGAAATATCGAGACTACAACGCTAGAAATACATATCGGCTTGGCAAAATGGCGGGAAACTTAAATAAACTTGTAGTATTTGTCCCTGTATAGTTCAACGGTCCTTGATAATCTTATCGCGAACGTAATTATCATCACGTTTGTGCGCTTTTCTCTTTTAGTCTTTTAGTCCGACATAATCCTTAAAACGATCGTAGTTTTCAGTTTACGTTTCTTTTACGTCGAGTTACAACGTTTGACGAATGTAAATAAAATGTAACAATGAAATATTTTCAGGACAATTCGGCAGAAGAAAAACCAAGTCCAACGAAAAATAAACGAGGAGGTACGAAAAGATTGTCCACACTCGAAAGGACGGCCCAAGAGGGGGAACGTCTTACAAAGGTGTGTTTCTGTTTCTTTATTCGCTAATGCTTTCTTTTTAACTAAATCATGCAGCAATAGCCGGCTTATCGAAAGTCCAAAACTGTTCTTAAGATCTGAGGGGCCAAGGTTTCACCCCTTCGCCTGGTTATTTCCCTCCATTTAGCCTTCTCGTCAACTCTGCTTGCCTACGTGAGCAGAAGGGTATCAAGAGTGGGGATATAAAGGGCTGGAGTAGGGGCGAAGGGGAAATACTCTTTAGCTTTCCGGAGCGGAGGATTCCCCGCCAATACATTTCGTGGCCGCCAATTATGAATAGCCATCCGTACTTTCTAGACGGTTGGCATATTCTTTTATTATTATTATTATTATTATTATTATTATTATATACTACTATGAAACTTTCTTTTTTACTCAGCTGCTAAAATTTTACTTAATAGTTGCATATGAAAATATCATTAATTGTAATTTTGTTTTAATTATAGGATTTAAATGCAGCTGTAGGAGAAGTGGAAGGAAGGAGGCGTACACGTAGTTCAGCACGTGGTTTAACCTCGTCGACAGCTGTGCCATCTCCACCTAAAAGGGAAAAGAGGGACACATCAACAAAAGGCACCGGTCGTGGACGCGGGCGTCCTAAACGGCAAGAGAAAAACAATGAAAACAACACGGATGAAGAAGCTAACAATAAAAGTGAAAAGCATTCTGAGGAGGAATGTATAAAAATGGATGTAGATGAGCAAAAAGATGAAACGGAAAAGTTGACAGACAGCGAGGACAAAAGTACCGCAAAAGCAGAAAATAAAGAAACCGTTGAAAAGACACTTGATTCGAATTTTAAAGAGGAAAAGGTAGTAGAAGAGTCAGAAAACTTTACAGAAGATACCAAGAGTTCTACCGTCAGTGAAGAAAAAAAGCAGGAAGACATAAAGGATAGCTCGGATTCGAGTCAAGATGCAACAGACACCACAATAGAAGCACCTCCTTCATCTTCCTCAGAGTCTCAAAATCCTTCTAATGCTACTACTACTACTACTATTGCTACTACTACTACCACCACTACCACCACCACCACTACTACTACTACTGAAGAAAATAAGGAATAACCTTCTTTCGCCTGTTTACCAATTTCATGTAAGCATTTTTTTTTTCTACAATTGTTTTTCTGAATCCTTATCAATATCAAATCTTTAATCGAAAAATGATTGAAGTATAAAGGAGAATAAGAAAATATAGACTTTGTATTTTTAAACATAATTTTACGTTTACGACCAAAATTGTTTGTTTACAAACGCGAAACGAGACTTCTGTTATATACATATATTTCTTATGAGTTCTCAATCTCTTAAGTGATGAAAATACGAGTATATATAATTAGGTATACATATTTGAATATGAGTATAGACGTTTTTTCTTTTTACCAACTTTAATATACTTTATTAACATTACTAAATGGTAAAAAAAAAAAAAAAAAAAAAAGAAGAGAGAGAGAGATTGAATTGTAAAGAGAGTTGTTGAGATACAGTTGTAACTTTTTTGAAAACAAGGACCTTTTTTGTAAAATATTGATTTTATTGTAGCAGGTACCAGGGCGGCGCACACATTGGGGTTACAAATCCAGTCCCCCTCGTCTATTTTAACAAATTGACACCTTACCGTCGATCGTTATTCTAATCAGCGCACGCGGGTTTACGTTATTATTTTTCATTTTAATTCGACGAAATATTCTGATGTGTGGTACATTACACATTTATTACCAGAGTAATTACTTGCTTGACGATTAGTGTATTTAATGGTACTGAGTATACCATTGGAATAGTTGTTTTAATTTAACCTGTACTCTGGTGGAGTGGTACAACTCGTTGCACTGATTAGTTGACGGTACAAAGCGAGGTGTAGAGCGTACGTTGTTCATGTACAATGATAATATTATTGTAAAATATATTTAATATGGACTTATATAGACAAGTTGTTTTCAAATCAGAGCTGAGGCCGGAGTCTAAATACCAGTCTTCAATTCAGATCTGATATGGAAGTAGCTGAAATTAATTCGTACATAGCAAATTACTGTAATACCTTATCTTATACAAATAATGACTGAATGAAATGGAATATATGAGAATTATGATGAAACGATTTCTCTTTTTCATGGAATACAGAAATAAAATTTCTGAGAAACGCGTCGTGGCGTGATATCTATTGTCTCCTTCCTCGCGTAATGCTACTAATAATAACCGGTTTATCATTTTCAATTTTTCTTTTTTCTTTTTTTCTTTTTTTTTTTTTTCTCTCTCTTAATGTTCCTTGTAATTAATACTACAAAGAATAAAATCTTTCGAATAAAAGCTTATTGTAAGATAGAGTTGTGGGTACATATTTTTTTAAAGGGTAGCATCTTGCAACATGTCGATATAATCTGTGATGTATAAATCTTTTTTATTAAGTGCTTTCTTTTTGTTCATAATGGTCCAATATTAAATATGTTGATATTATTGTGTATTTGAACGGTTGTGAGTGTACAGATATATAGATTATATAAATTCAATGCACTATTAATCGAAGGATGACAGTTTTTACCGAAATATGGAAATAAAATGATATATAAATCTAATCATTTGAACGCTCGCCACGTTTAAACGATGTGCAATCAAAGAAGCAGTTTGTTTCATTCGCGCTTGCATAGTTTTTGGTTCACACGAATAAAAATGTAGCTCCTGGGTCGACATTTTGTATAAAAGGACTCGAGTTGACTTTTCTCCAATTGTTTATCAAATAAGTCTTAATAAGTAGTTTAAAAGCGTCGCTGAGATCATTCTTGTCTTTGTAAATGAGTAAAAGAAAAAGAAAAAGCATAAGAGAAATGATTTGACTTTGATCGAATGGCGTGAGTGCTCCTGATCATTAATGTTTTAATAAGAAAAGAGAGTATTTGCCATTCAGTGCTTTTTTTTCTTTTTCTTATCAGAAACATGATGAGACCTAGCGTCGCTTTTACGAAAGATTAAAATCAAATGCGATACGCGTGTACATAGTTAAGGTTTAAGCTTCGTGTATGGCAATTGATCTTATCTTAGGAAAAAAAAGGAAAAAACAAAGAAAAAAGAATTGGAACGAGGTTTGCCAGCGTGAGCGTCGTGTTATATAAAAATACATAAACGTAGAGCTTGAACATCTTTCCTTTCATGTTAATTCAATCAAAAATGTTTAATGACATTACATTATTAATTATTTAGATTATCTTAAGTGAATAAACGGTACATTTTATATATATATATATATATATATATATATATATATACACACGCATAAGTATATATAATAACTGGTATTTATGGGAAAAAACAAATGTCCAAGAAGTTCGATATTAAGATTTTTACAACAAATCAAAGTGCGTGTACATCCATTCTTGATACAAGCTATAAGAATACTCTTGTCGGTCCAAGAAACGTAGCCTTAATCTCGTTTACAGTAAAATTAAATTGGAAAATTTGTCTATTTGTTAAAATAGAATTTGGATATTTTTTTACACGGCTAAGTTTGTAGAAAACAAATAGCTGGTATATAACGAAAGTATAGATTATCAATAGCGTAAATATAAATTACGTACATATACATATACGCGCACACATATCCTTATCTAATTTTCGACAAAAGTTTTCATATTACTTAACCTAACGTAAATGCAATTTAAATGTTTCTTCTGATTCAATGTCTTACACGATATTCGTTTACTCTATCTACAATAACTAAAAATTATTCAACTCCTTCTTCTGTTGTTATACGTCCGTGCAAACATATCTCTTTTTCAATAATAACAACGATCGCTTATTATGCGTAGCCCTTTTTTTTTAATTTTTTTTTTATAAATATCTGGATGATTAGACGCGCTATGTTTCATACATGCGAGTACTTGACAAAGTTAGAAGATCCGTATTCATAAAGATTTAAAAGAGAACAATAATTTATACCTAGTAGTAATTAGTCGAATTTTACGTTGTATGTAATATTGACAGAAAAAGTTTTTAATATCGTTAGTAATAAATCAGTCAATTTACATAACGATTGCATTATAATACACGATATAATGCGTTAGATAAACGAATTGGATAATTTATAAACAAGTACACTCTGGTTGTCTTATCCAAACTGTAAGATTCGGGTAATTTTTATTTAACACGCGGCAAGCTTTTATCGTTTCATCGAATGGATTAAGTTGCTCATGTGTAAATTACATGTTAGGCAAATAATGTTAGGAGAGTAGTCAATATAACAAGCTTGGTGGAGTGATTGCCTTACTTCTTTCAATTTTAATTCTCCCATAGAGGAATCTCAAATTCGATCCCAGCGCATCTATATAAAAAACGGTGGAACTACTCGGTAACTTATCGACCCAGTTTTCAAACGAAGGGAATACTTGCGCTATCTATGAAGAATCGGTTGAAACTACTTGACAACTTACAGATAATTAGTCGGCAAGCTGTCGCGTAGTTTCCCCCGTTTTTGTACAGATGGCATTGGGATTGAACAATCAGTTTCTTAAACAATTATTTTAATAATTTTTCGGGTCTTGTGCAAATTTTGATTGAGTTCTAAAAAATAGAATCAAAGAGAGTCAAAATTGTATTTTTTCAATTGTGTGTGCGAGGGACGGTACAAGAGGAACCTAACCTCATCTGAATGTGTCTGGAAACCCCAAAATTATAACCCTTCAAGAATAAATGAACGTCCTGCCTTTCTTGTATTTGTCGTCACTGGTAATGACTGGTAATTGATTCACTTGTCCGTAAAATTTTGACAAAATTTGAAAAGTCGTTTCAATTGATAATAGTAATGACAAGTATCACAATCTCGGCAGTTCGAACACGAACAAGTATTCTTGACAAATCGTTGAGTAAAGGCAAAGGCGAGGTTAGCTTGAGTTGTTTTGCTTTGCTATTCTCGGAACTGGTGCAGTATTGTCAAAATCGAGTTTACACTGTACCAGAATTACAAAATAAGTACGTAACTGATCAAGATCAGTAAAATATTATTAAATAAAATGAATATTTTTATATTTGTTGATCAGATTGGCAGAATTAGGTGCAGAGGTTGGCCATAGAATAACAGATTTACTTGTTATTCGAGAAAAAAGTGGAAAACGCGAGATCAAATTATTGAACATTTTGCTGTTTATTAAAAGTACAGTATGGAAATCATTATTTGGTCGGGAGGCTGACAAACTAGAACATGCAAATGATGATGAACGTACTTACTACATCATAGAGAAAGAAGCCTTAGTAAATAAGTTTATATCAGTTCCAAAAGATAAAGGAAGTTTAAACTGTGCCTCTTTTATTGCTGGAATAGTCGAAGCTATTCTTTGCGATTGTGGTTTTGTAAGTATTGACTTTTCTGTTTAACAATTTAAATATAGGCTAACAGTTTTAATAAAAAAGAAGTTTTAAACGTTTTATGTTTATAGACAGCAAAGGTAACTGCGCATTGGCATAAGGGGACAACGTACATGGTGAAATTTGATGATGCAGTTGTTGCTCGAGACAAGCAACTTGAAGATCGATAATGTAATACATACATAACAATGAAAAATTGGTAAAAAGCTGGTAATTATACAAATAAAATTGAAAGAAAATTTAATTTTCTATAAATTTAATCATTCTTTAAGACAAACAAAGAATTTGCTTTCTTTTACATTTTCGTGACGTTCCCCTTTCCCCCAAGAAGGATTAAGAAAATAGGTACATTTAAAATCATTTACCCGATTTAAATATATATTACGCTATTCGTATTTATTCACTAGCTAATTACGTTTATTGTGCTTTATGCGTTATGTTTACTTGTTTTATTTAATGTATTTTGACTTATATTACAGCACATAGACGTATATCGAATGACAAATAAAGATTTAAACGTTCGAATTCTATGGTTACAAATGCACTATCAAATTATAAACTTATGTAAATTTAAACTGTCTATCGGCATAACTTACTTGACCGGTACGAATAAGACGTTCTTGCCGTGACTGTAATATACAAAAAAAAATTGCACAATTATCTTCATTATGTTCTTGTTTAAAACTTACTTTTTAATATTTAACAATTAATTTACCTTCTCTTTTACAAATAATCCTGCAAATCCAACTAGACCTAACACAGCCAATCCCCACACCATAAAAGCTTTACTGGAAACTTGTGTGTGATACTCTTGGGTAAGTTTCAAAATGTTATATCTATGAACTGCATCATCGATCTACGTGTTTTAAATAAACAATAACATTAATCACATGTTCATTTTAGATTGTTTATCTTAATAAAATTAACAGAATTAATATTCTATGGTCTTCTTATATTTCTACTTTCTTTCTTTTTTTTTTTTTTTTTTTTACGAAAGCATAACAAAATTTCTAAACAAAAAGTACAATTGTGGAATGTAATAAAATATAAATTAGATATTACATAAGTAAACTACATCTGAACATGAATAAATAGCAATTTGATTTTTTCTGTTGTGTTTTCGATCATTTTTGGTATCAACTAATTGAGGTTACGTGAAATACATACGACGAGCTTTTGCTTCGTTGGACGATGAATTTCTCTTAAATATCTTTCACGTAAAGCCTTTTTCCTTGCATCTTTCCATTCTATTATTTCTCGCATTTTTTGAGAAACATCGTACGATTCAATTTTATTTGAACTCATTTTTAAATCAAGTAGTTTAAATACGTAGCACGAAAGTGTCGGATATTGGAACTTATGTAAGGTGTATGTGTATGTATATATATACACAATATATGTATATATTTATATAAGGAAATTGGTAGAATGTATCATCAGCAAAATAATTAAAACATTAAATTTTTATCTAGTTAAATGTTTTTCATTTTGATACTCAAGTAACAAAATCTGGGAATTATTCGCAGTTCATTCAAATATACATGTGTTATTAATTGTTGACTGAAAAGGAAACTTTTATGTATAAATACATATATGTACATATATATAATGCTTAAAACGGAGTTAATTATAATATATGTATGTATGTATATATATATAAATAATTTACGTGAAAAGATGAAAAATTATTAAATAATTCTGATGAGCTAATAAAATAAGGATAGTAAAAATAAAATAAAAATACCATCATAAAGAATAAAGAAATTAATTATCTAATTATGTAAATAGAGGATTTCATAGAATTTATGTAAAGTTCGTAGGTTATAAAATCAAAAGATTAGAATACAATTCAAAGAATACGTAATCGTTGGTCACTATAAAACTGCATTCATGTGTTTAAAATGTGGGTTGCTAAACACTTATCAAAATCACATGATAATAATCGTATACGAATCGAGTTACACAAAGCAGCAGGAGTAAATGTATAGGAATGCACGTGAATAGATAAATCCTGTATGATATTCAATTCTCCAGTGTTTCTCAACTCGGAAAATCTCTACAACTTCTTTGATTTCTTAAAAATCAGTATGTAAGTATGTATGTATACTATACTGATGTGATTTACATAAAATTATATCAGAGATTCTATATCAATAAATGCCTAATATGTAAGCACATATATGTATATGTACATACATACATTTGAAAACGACTATTTGAACTATGAATGTTTGCGAAAGTTTCCCTGGATTAAGTAAAAAGGCATGGAAGAGAAGGTCTCCCGCCATCTGCCTTTCATCTCGATATTTAAATACGAAGCTGCAAGAGGTTATACATTATACTCTTTTTGTTCTTCATTCGCGTATGTACATACGACTATGTAATGCGTATGTTAAACGACAGAGAGTATGAGAAACACTGTTATACCGCAAAAGTTAAAACAATGATGAATCACGTAGTAGGGGAGGATATACTGTACAATATAGACAGAAGAGAACGCTCTCATCGTCAGTACTTATTTTAACGCAACCGAAGATACGTCGTGGATTATAATTTGTTTCGACAACTCTCTAACGAATAGACCTTAGAATTGGTAAGATATTTGAAAATGCTCTATATTATTAACTATTTCATTTTGACAATGAAATTCAATCAGGTCACAAACGACGTATCATTTTTATTTTTTCTTAAAGTGTTTAGTCTAATTACGCATACCTTTATTAATCAGCATCGTATTTATCTTTTTATTTATTTCACATCCATAGCATTCGATTTTCATATTGTTGATAAGATTATTTGCGTTACTAAAAACACGTCACCTTTTTTTTTTTTCTTTCTTAGTGATTCTTTTGTTCTTGTACCAAAATAAGGATATTACGTCAGTAAGAATCGGCTTACATCAAATTATTATTGTTATTTTTTTTTTTAATTGAGGTAATATAATTGTACTTTGTTTAGAATTTATATTACTAGAAATATAACAAAATTACTTCCTTGTATTCATATATATATTATTTCTTGTAGTGTACATGTCGTGTCTCTAACAAGGAAGTACAATTATTGCTACGTAATTTACAGTAAAAAATACGCGTACTGTGTAATTGTTTCTTTGTTCGATATACATACATATGTGTATGTGTTTTCTTCGTATAGGTATGAAAGAATGCGAAAACATTTTACGTGTATAGCAAATTATGTATATTTTTATGTAAATTAATTAATGGAATATTCGTGTATTTTTTGTTAATAAAAAAATGAAAGATTCATAAAAATGTTGTAAACTAAAGAAATGTGAATGATTGATTTTTATAAATTTTCAGTTTTAATATAGAAACCATGAAGACGCTATTACTTTTAATTGCAATAGCATTTGTTACGGTGCAAGCTATTTCTTTCTTTGAGTTGGTCAATGAAGAATGGACCACTTTCAAGGTAATGGACTACTTTCATTTGTGAAACCTATGAAATACTTATACATATATGTATACTTTGATAATTCATAAAGTTAATGTTTATCTTGTAAAATTCTAAAAATTGTATGTTCTTGGATAAATCAGTTATTTTATGGAAGTAAATACATATTAAAGATATCCTTGTATACGTATATGAAACATATTGGTCATAGATTAAGTATGACCTTTATCAATGTATATCTCTATAAATAGATAAAGTGTTTGTCTGTAAATAAAGTATTATTCAATTTTGTTTATACTACATTAAAGTATTTAGGAACTAAATAATATTTCTAAAAAAAATTAATATTTAACCAATAATTTTATATATTAGTATTGTTCATGAGAAGACATAATTATTTTGTTACTAATTTCTAGATGGAGCATAACAAAGTTTATAAAAATGATGTTGAAGAAAGATTTAGAATGAAAATATATATGGATAATAAACACAAAATTGCTAAACACAATGGTAATTATGAAATGAAGAAGGTTTCGTACAAGTTAAAAATGAACAAATATGGAGATATGGTGAGCGAGATCCCTGATAGTTATTATACGTATATCTTCAATTATTAAATGGATGAGACGAATAAAAATTTGCTAATTACTTTGTTTATCTTTTGATGGTTTTAGCTTCATCATGAATTTGTGAATGTATTAAATGGTTTTAACAAATCCATAAATACTCAGTTGAGATCTGAAAGATTACCTGTAGGAGCTGCATTTATTGAACCTGCAAATGTAGAATTACCTCAGTCGGTAGATTGGAGAGAACACGGGGCTGTTACCCCGATTAAAGATCAAGGACATTGTGGTTCATGCTGGTCATTCTCTGCAGTAAGTTTTATAATCTTATTTGTTTATTGTTGTTTTCATATTTTGGTAAATTGCTTGAGAGATAAATGAATTTTAATTATTACAGACTGGAGCGTTAGAGGGGCAACACTTCCGACGAAAGGGAGTTTTAGTTTCTTTAAGCGAACAGAACTTAATTGATTGTTCTGCAAAATATGGTAATAATGGATGTAGTGGAGGATTAATGGATCAAGCTTTTCAATACATCAAGGATAATAAAGGTCTAGATACAGAAGTAACTTATCCGTATGAGGCTGAAGACGATAAATGCCGGTAATTGTTGCGATTAAAGTTTCTTTAAAATTTTTTTTCATTTCAAGTATAATAATTTACTTTTTAATTAATAGATATAATGTAAGAAACGCTGGTGCTTCCGATATCGGTTATACGGACATTCCTGAAGGAGATGAAAAAAAACTTAAAGCAGCAGTAGCCACTGTAGGACCAATCTCTGTTGCCATTGATGCTTCTCATCAATCTTTCCAATTTTATTCCGAAGGTTTGTTTTTAATATTTTACGTTATGAAATGTTGATGGAAGATTTCAAATACGTTGAATATTAGTTTAGGTAATTTGTGATAAATCTTCTCTATATAAATTGTAGGGGTTTATTACGAACCTGAGTGTTCTTCAGAAGAACTGGATCATGGGGTACTAATAGTAGGGTATGGAACAGACGATAATGGTCAGGATTATTGGTTGGTGAAAAATAGTTGGGGAGAAAGCTGGGGTGATAAAGGATACATCAAGATGGCCAGAAATAAAAACAACCATTGCGGTATTGCTTCCTCTGCTAGCTACCCTCTTGTTGGATCTCGAGGATAATTTAAATATTTTTTTACGAATAATTTTAAGACATAAGTAAATATGAACTGCAAACCTGTAACAATTTTCCTTCTATTAATGATAAGTGTTTGTCTGTATTTAACATTTAGTAAGTTTTTACTTCTATATACATCGTAAGGATTAATATATATTTTTTCAATAAAATGAATGAAGGCAATATTATTGATATCTTATTCCACGATCTTCATAAAGAAACGAAAATATCGGACTTACCTTGTAAACATACATAAATAAGTAAATATATGAGGTATCTAGCACCGTGGCATGGAATCGGAATAGAAACTGAACGATCGGAATGTAGAATTTTATGATATTTTAGTACATATATATATATTATATATATATATATACACGTGTGATGTAAAATATTATTATACTACTATATAATTTTCTTGTTTGACAAATTATAACTGCATATATATATTATTATCATACAATGTTTCTTTTATTATCGAGTAACGTTAAAATGTTTTATAAACATAACCTAAAAATGTTGAAATGCTATTATATAGTTGAAGCCGATGTCATGTATTCGGTGGTATAAGTAAGTGAGTGTGTTTAAAAAGTAAAATTCTCTCTTGAAGAGAAAAATTCTGAAATGCAAAGCAAGTATATTTTGTGTTAAAACCGTTTAAATTGTTTTGTTTAATTGATTTATACAGTTACAGATTAATTTTGAAAACTTTTACTATATTTACATAAATACATTCCCATAAGTAATAATAAGTGAAATATAATATTATGTATTCCAATATTTCTAAAATTTATATTTATATAAAGTGTTCTATTGAATTGTTTTCATTGTTGTAATATTTATGTAACTTCATCCAAACATTTCCTGAAAGATATTATTAAAACCTATTAATTATTTTAATGTAAATTTGTTAAAACTGTTTTGTTATTCTTTAATTAATATGCTTGTTTAATTGTTTATAGGTAATCATATACAATGGGTGAATTAAATGTGTGTTTTCAAATAGACACAGATAATCGTGAAAATTTTCCATCTGCCATTACGTTTCAAACATTTAAAAATCAACGAGATACATTTTATGAGATATTTAGAATATGGGAAGAAAATCATTCGGTACCAGGATGGACATTTCAGATAGCATTAGGAAGTAAAATACGATCTATGTTGACACTGCATAACGATGCCATCAATTATTATCATTTTGCAAGATTATTTAAGTCACAACTTTTAATTTCATGTGTACAGAATAAGCGACAGGTAAGTTTAATATTAATGTTATGCGTATATCAAGAAACCATTTTTTATTAATTTTTTTTACTTCTAATCATTTGATTTATTTTAATTATTTTTAGGCAGAAATAGATGATGAAAATATAAGTTTTTTAAAAACTTTGAAATGTGTCAATCCTAAAAAGTTGGATCAACTGCAAAAACGATTAGTAACACCTCAACCTTCTAAAAATCAAATTACAGGACCATCTTTTCCAGGAGTACAAGAATTTTTCAAAGACTTTATATTATTTGCTTTTAATCCAATTTTTTATGTTCACTTGGAAAACTGTTTGGTTCATGAAATTATGGAATTGAATGATACTCAATTCAGTAGTAGCGAAATAGAAGATTCAGGTATTAATGTGTATTACAGTATGAAATATCAACGTTATCTATATATATATATATATATATATATATATATATAGTTGGTGTATAGCTTGATATATTGATCAATTTTATTTGAAACAGACACAATGGTCGATGAACAGACACAAGAAAATTTTATTACTTGTTTATCCAGTTTACAACTCCTTGCGAAAATACTAGGTCTTGTCGTATCTTTGCCATACAGATCAGAATCGAATAATTTTAAAGAGTTGGTAGCAACTCAAGTAGAAGTAAGAAGTAAAGTAAGTGATGTACTTAATATTACTGATTTAAATGAAAAAATAATTGTCATTGACAAGTGTGTGTGTGTGTGTGTGTGTTTAATATTATGCTTTTTATTTAGGTTTTACCAACAGTAAATTTACATGTTTGTCTTCATAATGCAATAACGTCAGGAAAATTGTCGTTAACCGTACCTTGGATAGCAAAATACTTGGCTATGCTGGACGCCGTGTCTCTTAGATTACCATATTATAAGCAAATCTTGGAACTTTTATACTATATTTATAAAGCTGTGAATCAATCCGAGTTCTTAGCTCCTGACAATTCTATTTCTCAACAAACAGCAATTCTTTTAAAATCTACCTTAGGTTGGCTATTTGAATTACCAAATTTTCCAAAGGATTACTATCCTTCTTGGCAGGAGACATACAAAGTTAAAGAATTGCAAAGTCTTAAACAGTTTGACAAACATGCACAAAAGAATATACTATCCGGAGAGCCTATAGTATCTGTTACTTCGGCTAAATACAATTTAGACAAATTAGATATGATTAATGAAAAAACATTGCGAATATGCTGTCCTTTGGCTGGATTAAACGTACCTGCACCAAATTCTAACGCAAATATAAATAATTGCAATTCAAATAAACATATTACACCAGTTTCTAGTCAACTTGACAAATCTGTTAGAAGTACCGGTATAAAGCATTTAGAGGTAAGTTTATTAATAATTTTCAAGTTATTTTTATAAAATATAAACGGCTATACTTGTTAATGTTAATATTTGAACAGTTGCAATTGGAAGAAGCGTTCTTTCATGGCCAACCAGCATCTACTCGTAAAACAGTAGATTTCGTGTCCGAGCGAGTTGCCTCTACTTGTGTGAAGCATATATGCAACACTCTGTTAATGTCCTCTAGAGAAACGAATTTAAATAATTTTAGGATACTTTTGAAGAAAAAGCAAAACGAAAGGCAATGGGAAAAATTAGAAGAGTCGTTACTCAATGATACCGCAGATTTTAAGGTAGATTTGATATTGGTGAATTTTATAAATGAAACGCTCTTATAATATACGTAGAACATAATTGAATAAAAAAGTAATTTTTTCTTTTTTAAGGCATATATAATAAATGATATGAATACGTTAGCTGGAAATATGTCTAAAGAATTGAAGGAGCAGTGTGAAACATCTATACCGATGATCTGTGAAATAAGGGTAACTAAGTCTATAGAATCTCTTTTGGCTGAAGATTCTTTGAGGTCGGTGAAAGAAATGTGTGTTAAAATTGCTACAAGGTTAGCTACCGAACGTATACACCAGTGGATCCAATCTCATATAGTGGGTGGGTCATTGTTCATAAAAGACATGGAATTGGAATTAAATAGATTCTTTAGAAACAGTACACCATTGCATCCCATTCAAGAAAAGATACATAATCCAAATGCTATTAGTCCAACAACTATTACCGACGATATAAGAGTAATTATTATATGTTTATTCTGCACTTTTGCTCGAATGAAAAATGAAAGAAAGTTGAATTTTTGATGATTTTTGATGATTTTTGTAGGAACTTATATGGAAGATACTTGATAACGGTGGACAATCCTTAACGATAACATGTGTGTCAGCTGTGTTAGATAATTTGTATCAAACTTTAAACGAAAGAGCTGATTTAGTTGTGGGACCAGAGAAGGTTTTGTATTTCCTTAGCACCGATTTTGCTTTATTTTTAGGTAAAAGGAATGTTAATCTTTTTGTTCTACGTTATGTTATGTTATATTACGTTACGTTACGTTACGTTACGAAAAACGTAACCGATTTGTTTATGTATTTGCAGTCGCTTATCGAAGTGATCTTTTCACCCAAAAAATTCAAAAAAAATTGATAAAAGTGTGGACAATGGATCGTTGGAAAGCTATGGAGTTAGACTCTCCTATGCACAGAATATTCAGTTCTAGAAATATTATGTTGTTGGGTCAACCAGAAAAAGAGGAGATTTGGCCATTTTTCGGAAAGTTTATTAGGAAGTTGATAGAAAAAAATGTTTTAGACGTTGATAGTTTTAGCGATCAATGCGTAGCTTTATTTAGACAAGATTGGCCCATGGTAAATATTTATTTCTCTGTATTTCTTGAAAATTCTGTAATTAGAGAGAATTATTGTTTATACGATATTACTAATCGTTTCTTTTTCTTCTAGCCTGTTATGAAGCATCTGTCGAAATGTTTGACAGAGGTTATAACGGGTTTTAAAGCGTCGGACGAGAAAACGGAGAAACTGAAATATTTGTTAGGATGGATAGCAGAAACGTATAGTAAGATAGAATTTTGTAACGATTATAGTCCTATAGACTGATGTTTCTTTTCTTTGGTTTTACTTGTAGCTTCTTAACCCTTTGTACTCGGCGCGTTTCTCTACCATTGCCTACCGGTAAATCTGGCACATTTTTGCAGCGAAGCGTCTGAGAAAAAAGAAGTCTTATTTTGAGTGGACAAAATTACACGTGCTCGTGAATGTATTTGATTTTATTTATTATATAAATATGCATTTTTCTCTTGTAAATAAAAGAAATTTTAAATTTTGTAATTCACCATGGTGTGTGATATCTATGTGCATTCTGAGTTTACTCGGCCATCCTTTGCTTTCCTTTTAGAATACTCAAGGCAGTTCTTCTTTCCACCTTTCCTAATTATATAAAGTTTTTCCCGTTTAATCTGGTTTTAGAAATTGACAAAAATTTTTCCATATTGTAAATGCGTTATCTTTTATCGTCAGTGGTTTCTCATTTTTGTTGTGTTGTACATACAGTTTTCTAGAGAATGTATGAATTTATGATAGATAGATCTTTATTCCCCAGAAAAAAAGTTTTCAATTTTATTCCACTGATTGTCAATACATATTGTATATATTTTATAAGAGAAAATAAGATTATTTGTATGTACGAAAAATGTATTATTATCTTTATAGAATGTTTCTTTTTCTTAAATTAAATTATCCAGAATGAATTTTTAAGGGTCGACATAATCTTTATCAAACAATCAACATTTGATTCGATCGATTATTATTATTCCAGTATTGGAAGGGAGGAAGATATAATAATAATTAAATTGAAATTCTAAGGATTTCGAAAAGTGTTTGCATCCTTTCTTTTTGAATATCTTTGTTGCTCGCTAATGGTTGGGTAACTGCGCAACACAAGATGCGCGATAGACTTGAGCGCGAATAAATTTCGTTGCAGTTCGGCGGCGTCGCTCGTCGAGGTCGTATTGTATATACATATATATATATATATATCATTTGTCCGTAAGAAAAATTTGTTAAACAGCATCGATGAAGAGGCGTTTAAATAGCTGCAATATACATATATTGTTTGCTCTCGTGAAAGCATTATTTTTCACATGTTCATAAAATGTTTCATACCAGAGAGTAGAATATCATAGACGTTTACAAGCATGCTTTGAATTTGTTCCAACGAATATCGAGTAATAAAAATACGTAACAATTAATGGGTTAATATGTTTTTCACTGGTCGGTTTATGTGCCTACGATTAACGGAAGTAACAGTATTATTGATTCGAGCAGTAATAGTGATAGCTTTTTATCAGATTAATTGTACCGCCGCGGGAACTCGGATAAAATGTCGACGAAAAGAAATGTCATAGTTTGCAATAATTAACGGTCGGTGAACGAACAGTAGCGAGAAGGGTAAATAAAGAAAACACGGCGGCGACGGTGATTGTTGACAGGTGGCGATCTTGAGATACATATACAGATGTTGAGCGGTGCTCGCGTGTATACTTTGGTCGCGTGGTGACCTCCGAGAAGAAACGAAAACGAAAGCGATCGTGTATCGAGTTGACATTATTCGCGAAATCGATCGATCCTGACCGGTGGCAGAAACGAACACGTATTGTCGTCGAGGATGTCAAGGTGGTAGTGGTGCATTGGAGAAATGTGGAATAACGCGTGGTGCTTGCATCATCTGTTCAAGGGCGGCGTTTAATTTCGAGGGACACGCGATCGCCTTTCTACTTATAGTAGAGAGCACGTGTTCATCGGCACGTGGCTGCTCCAAGTCTCCAAGTCTCCAAGTCTCCAAGTCTCCAAGAAGGAAACGTGAAGAAACGATTTATGGAATCACACGACAACCGTAACCGTTCAAAGATGGTCTGCATCATAAGGTATGTAAGTTTAGACATTATTATTATAATAATTTACTTAGCTATTATTTTTACCCGTTCTTGTACCTCGAAGAACAAAGAAATACTTAATAAAGAAAAAGAAAAAGTACTTGCGAGATACACTTACGATTAGATAGGTGTAATCAGTAAAATGACACTAGTAATGTTTATATTAGTTGTTGATATAAAATGAAAGGACTTTTCGTTATTACAATTGGTTATGATTCGAGTGTATCGGCGGCGGTATCATTAATGGTCAATGGTCAGAAATAAAAGGAGAAGTGTGCAATGACACGAGGTATTTATTTGTAAACGGTAACGAGCATTCTCGTGAATCGAATCGGAAACCGATACGATAAGGTCATCGCATTTAACGAGTAGCACCGAATCCATGTGGAAAGCAGATAAAAAAAAACGTACGATGAAACATTGTCGGCCATTGCACTCGATTCTATCAACGATTTTTCTAAATATGATACAACTATTGGCTTTCGTTGATTCTTATAATTACTTAATTAATTATAATGGTCGGAGAATTTGTATGAAACGCAGAGATTCTATAGATAGATGGTTTTGTAATTTAATTGTAAGACGATACTGCTGGTAGAATAGCTTGGTTAATGGTGATTACACGTATGTAGCTATAAATGTCCTGTATTGCTAAGGATGGCCGCAATTTGCGGCTACCAGCGTCGAGCGCCATTTTGATTCACCTCTTTACAGGAAATTACCAGGCCTGTTTCAATTTACCCTTCCTCCTGATACTCGGGGTTCCGTAACAAATTTCATTTTCTTTGCTAGTCGTCGAAGGAAGGAAGGAAGAAAGAAAGAAAGAAAGAAAGAAAGAAAGAAAGAAAGAAAGAAAAATGTCGGCTTTGATTTGGACTTGAATTTATTTCGTCTTTCGTTATCGGATGTAGCCAATTATGATGGAATTTATATTGTCTTTTATTGTCGCCAGTTTGAAAAGTAATTGAAATATCTCCGTTTGTTGAAATATATGTATAGGTAAATATTGTAAAATTCGGTGATGAAACGAAATTATTCCATTTAGTCGAAGAAAGAATTTTGAGTAGCAGCAAAATGACAGTATTTTGTATTAATTATAGGTAGATGCCAGTGTGAGAAAGAAATGGAGACACTTTACACGGGTGCGATCCACGGGTTTCCCCAATCGAACGGTGGACTCGGCAATGGAATTTCCACGGGTATTGGCAACTCGTTCGATCAGGATGGCGTTTTGAGTTTGATCGTCGTTCTGGGTGGAAGTTTGTCCCTGGTTGCTCTGGTATTCGCCTTTATCACCTATAGGTAAGTTGATAGATAAATGGTCATTTCTTTCGGTTTAGCCGTGAAGCAATTTTTTACCTCTGTACTATGGGTATTAAAGGAAAATATCTAATTGTAACTAGTTGTATTTACTTCGAATTAGAAGAGGAGAGAGAGAGAGAGAGAGTGTGGGCGCGCCTAAAGATTTAAAGGCAAAGGGTTAAACGAGAGAGAAGTGCTGGTTGTTCAGCGTGTGTCTCTTCTCTTTCCTATTCAGTTGGCTGCAATTACAGATGCAAAGCCACGAGCAGAGCCAATTAATTATAATTGGCCAGTCGGACGATGTTCGATAGCGATCTTCTTTGTTTCGAGTGTTCTCGTTAATTGCTCTTTTCTCCTGTTTACTCGTTAATTGACGCGTTTAGCGAAACTTAAACTCCTTTCGAATAAAAGATTTCAAAGTATTTAGGTAATAGCTATTATCTTATTTGAGGGAATAAAATTTCATTTTTATTTTACAAGGCTTTACGCTTATTTTTCCAAGGAACATTCACGAAATTCAATTACTTTCCGATCGGTTTAACGCGCACGTCAGATGCACAATCTTTTCGGTTGGAAACTTTATAAAGGAAGTAGCCGTTGACGGAAATTGAAGGGAAATGGAAATGGAAATCCTTCTTTCTTCTTGAACGTTGGTCAATCGTTGTTCCTAGAATTTCAATATAAAATTCCCTTTCCCTTGTCCCTCTGCCAAATAGGGAGGGACGGATCGAAGAATCGTGATCGCGAGATGTTAACAATTGTAGATATTTAATAAATAAAGTTACATATCACCAGAAGAAGGGTTTTTACGACGAGAGACACTTTTCCTTGATACCTTGTGTAGGCAGGCGCTTTATTAAGGCCATCCTAAGGCTTTCATTAGAAGCTCTTATACATAATATAAGCTACGCGGGACACGGTATAACTAACGATAATTAACTTTTTACCCGAGAAAAAGGGGTGAATATGGTCGGGGCGTTACATTTGACATCCCCGAATCTCGTTCTGTTTTATTTCATTTTTAATTTATTTCTACCGCAAATATGAATAACTTTTAAGAAATTTAAATACTTTTAACGCGTGTTCGAATCATTCGAAAGAAATGTAGGTAATTTTATGAACTTGTGTATGCACGGTTCACTTTGAACACTTGGTTCATCAAACTAACGCCGTCATATTTCGTTCTGACCCAACATTTGTTGCAATGTTATCTATCAAGTTGTAGAATTGACATCAGACTTTGTATATTTAATTTTATAAGCAATAATTTAGTTAACCTCGTCGAGGCGTAAAGAAATTTCTGACAGGTGTGAGTAATGGATATACGTAGACGACAGAAACTTCCTCTGCGTCTAAAGTCTAAAGTCTAAAGTCTAAGGTAATCTATCATGAATAATATATGTATACATAATCGACTAATGGCATGATCTAGCGCGCAACGGAAATTTCGGGAAGCAGCAAGAAACTTTCTTATCCTTATCGTTGCTCAACTGTCGAGCTAACTTACGATTAGAAACAAGAAACGATAGCTCCTCCGCTACATTTACGTCTCGTTGATTTTCTTGATTAAATTGATTAATCAACGTATATAGTATGTACTACATCCTATATTCAAGGACGATCAACTAGACGAAGAATCTTCTGTTCAGACGAAAATCGTGAGAGCTTTGAAATAGGCTGTTTAGATCATCTTGGCAGAATTCTCTCGCGTTGAACGGATCGAGAGGATTGTAGTCGGCCAGACGGAATAACTCGTTTGGAAATTTGCCGGATTATCAGTCTGTTATCAGTCGAAAACCGAATAGTATTCGGAACGGATAAAAGCTGAGAGATGGGTCGTCTTGGGATATTTGAAAATTGAAAGAAAAAAAAGAAGCATCGTTCCCTTCGTGCTAGGTGTGTTTATCACGCTGCATACGCGATGGAAATCTGGAACACAGTCTGGTAATGAAATAAAATTATCCTCGGAATCAGTGGTCTTGCTTTTCTTCCATCTCTCTATCTACCTACGAAATGAAATGTCAGTTTTTCTTCTTCTTTTATACATCGATCAATCCTTTGGTTGTGAAAAAAATCGGTAACACGATATCGCGAAAAGCAAATTATGTTAAACAGAGTTAAAATCAGCAAAGTGGCTTGTAATTAAGCGCATCCTGTAGCGTGTCGAAGGGATAAATACATGTATGTAGCGAGGCTCGTTTAACTTGATTTTCGCGTTATCTTTAACGAGATTAAAGCTCGGTGACGTGACGCTTTCGTTACATCTGACAGAATCGGTTGCATCTGTCGGCTGTCTATGAAATTGGTGATTAAAGAAAGAAGAAAAACAGGAAAAGAAACATTAGGTAGGCAGTGAAAAATCGTCGAGATATCCCGGTCAGATAAAATAATAAGCAACGTTTGTGTAATTGGCAGCGTGCCGTGCGGGTCGTGTGTATCGAGATGAATTTTACAGGAAATTCAACGTGCTTTCAATACGATAGATAGATAGATCGAGCGGAATATTTGCTCGAAATTCTATCGAAATTCGTCGAATTAATACAAGATAGATTTTGCTGTGTAACTAATATTATAGATATCGATAGATTGAACATTTCGACATTTCGATATTTCGAATTATACGCTTCATTTATTGTAATAATAAATTGCCAAAATTAACGATGAGTGTAATAACATTTTTAGAAATAATTAACGGTCGGTGAATTCAAGTAGAAGAATTTTATTATTAGGATTATTATCGGCAACTGATTTTTTACTTTGTTAGAAAATAGAAAATAGAAAATAGAAAATAAAACAAGTTTATTTGGTTTCGCTGGTAATTTCACGAAACCCTGTTCTATTTGTACGGTGTATTATCCTAGTTTCAGCAATAACGTTTCTCGCTTTGTATTCGGAGCAGATAGAATGAAAAGGGTAAGATACACCTTGAAGAGCAAATAATCTTATAGAGATAATTGGAGATACTTGAACGCGCAACAATATGTAGATTGATTTAAAGTTTTCTTTCACAACGAATACATACACCTTTCGATCGGTTTTATTCTTTTAAGAAAATTTATAACCATCTATCGTTACCTTTATCTTTACCTGGATTTTACTTTAGTAAACTTACTTTAGTATGCTTCTCGTTGCGATTGTAAATAATATTTAGAGGCATAGCTAGTCGACTACGAATGTTAATTACTGTCGCAAAATAATTGATACACGTGTAATCAATAATTTAATTGCGAGGGGAAAGACGCGAGCGTCTTTCGGTTGGCGAGGACTGGTTCCGTATAATACTCTAAATAGCATACCAGAGACGCCTCTTGTGGTATAATTTACCGAGAATGTCCATTTTCAGTTAATTTCATTGTCAGTAATAAAACGTTATTGAATGGGACTAGCTGGGGATATTCAAACTATGCTCGTATTTATTGAAATTGATTTGAATATTCCCAGTTTGGCGTTTATAGATGTACGTACTCGTATATAATATGTAATATGTAATATGTCATATGTAAACCGGGGTCAGAGAGACTAAACTAAAAAGTTTATCCTCTTGAACGTTGCTTGCTTGCTTGCTTGCTTGCTTTCTTTCTTCGATCGATCATTGCTGCACTTTGCTTTTGCGCCAACTCGTGACGAGTTGCGGGGAGAGTTGCGGGCTTTAAAAAAGCTCATTTCCTTTTGAAAGATCGCGTCGCATCGCGTCGTCTGTGATTTTTCTTCCTGTACGACTATACGAAGTACGAAGCGTAAGAGGCTTAGGAGAAAGAGCCGCTGCTCCATTCGATTACACGCGTTGGAACCGAACGATCTTTCCGAAGGTTGTTCGGAGATTGAAAAATTTAATATTTTCTACCGTGTGTGTCACGTTAAAGGGTTTTCGTTCAACTCCCTTTTATAACGTATCTCGTTTGGTGTTTGGAATTTTTATTTCATTCTCTATATTATTATATTAGTTGGATTATCTATCCATAAGCGGCTTACGAGCCCTTTCTCTACCCTATTTCGAGCTTCTTTCGGGATTCACCTTCGTCATCCTCTTAATATCAAGCCGTCGTTTTAATATCTTGAGGAGAAATTGCGCGGAGCGTAACGTGCTTGCCTAACCAGACTGCTTTATCCTCGCCCTCTCTTCTTCCATTCTATAATAATTAACACTCGCTTCATTTAACTTTAATATAGATATGTAGGTATACACATGCAATGTTGGCATTTTGAGAATGAACAGATCACGTCAGGTGAAATTTGAAAAATTGAAAAATTGAAAAATTGAATAATTAAATCCGTTCGTTATGATGCGTAATGAGAGTCGAGAGGGATGGAAAATGTGAGAGAAGGGAAAAAAATGAAATTTCTACGTTGTTCGATAGACCGGTGTCAGAGATTTGATGGATCGAGCAAGCTCGACGAAAGCGAAGGGTAATAATCAGCGTTGACGTTCTCACAAAGAGATCTGAAAGAAATGTTTTCCCTACCTAACACGTTTGCCCTAAATATGAAACGATTCCCAATTTTTGCAAGACAGAGATTTTCTATCTTATGAAACCGTAATATAACGTAATAATAAGAGATATCCATCACGTACTTACGTGTGTCGTAGTATCCTGGGAACACTTTGTACTGTTCATAAAGTGTCTGACGATTGAATTAACCCTTCTCCACGTATCGATATCACGACGAAAACGTCCTTTGAAGGACGAGCCTTGACGAGTAGGTAAGTACGTAAGTACGTTGATGATGTCTTGCGATATCTCTTTAGACTTTGAAAATATTTTCGTCGGAAAACGAGTGGTATCAATTCTAAAGCTTGCTTTGTTTCAACAAGCTTCTTTTATAACATAATATAATATAATATAATATAATATAATATAATAGGTCCTTGTGTAACGTTACTTAAAATTCCTCCAAACGACGACCATCTCGTTTTATAATTTTTCGCAATTTCCATCTCTCTGTATACACTTGAATTTGTGATAGTCTTTGAACAAGTTCCACGGTAGTAAGCTTTGGAATTTCACCGCGAAAATTGGCTGCATACTGCATACTGCATACTGCATTCGATGGAAAATGTACGCTACGGCACGAGAGTTGCATTGCATATTCGAAATGACATATAAGATTGCACTCTGACGAAATCGTTTTCAGATAGCTAGCTACTATTTCATTAAGAGTGCAGTACGTCTTTTCAGCTATTTTGAAAAAAAGAAAAAGTTGCTCGTTTCTTCGCGTCTCTACATGTATAATAGGGATATATCAGTGACATTCGGCCAGTTGTCTCTCTTCTAATCTACATACATACATACATACGTAATGTTCTGTCGCTTACGTCGAAAATTAGGCTTATCACGTCGTGTAACTTGATACCTTCGATGCCGATTTACAATAGAATTGTAGATCCTGTGATATAGAGTTCGTTGGCCCGAAAGAAGAAAGGTATATGCCCCTTTTTGCGTTTACTTGTATCACCAGTTACGTATAATATACGTAATATCGGTAATTGAAGCGATGTTGTTTCAATCTTGTGTACCAAACTTTGTCTATTTTTCATCTGTGAAAGAAAGGCCTCGATCGGATCGATCATATACCTAGGTCAAGGATACGTTCTTTCTCTTTTCCATTGATTTTTCGTGGAGAGGATAAACATTTCAGACAAAGAGAGTGTTTTTCCCATCTAGACTTAACGTTTTTGCCAGCAGAACATGATTAACCTTATCGAGAGAACGTTTCGAAAATTGGAACACCAAATCTACGGACAGGCTTCGACCTTACCCTCGAATTTTCCATAGTCTTCAGCTTTACCTTCACCCTTGTTCACCCAACACATAGAATATTAAGGTAGCTTGAACGATTTAATCATGAACGATTTAGGCATAGCTCGTGTATAGTGATTTGAAAAATTTACTAATTATTCCGAGTAATAATACCTGATATGCCAACAGTTTAGCAGGCACGAAAAAAGGATAGATACATACATATATGTATAGAATGGAATCTTTGATCGATCGAAAGTTGGCCTAATCGTAAGATTTTACCGGTATGCTCTGAAAAGCACTCGATATCTGGCCCCATTTAAGCGAATTGTTAAGCCGACTGCCTCCTGACCTAATTAATCCTAGATCCTTCAATCCATCGCGGATTTTCGCTATTGTGCGACGCTATTGATGCTTCGATCATTCGAAAGGTTGATTACGTTTTCATATTTTTCCCAGATGATCTTTTCCCTTTTTCTTCGGAAATCAACGACTTTGACGAATGAAATACTAGTGAAAAGTTGCATAAAATAATTTATTAAAATTCAACGATTTCCAAGCTAAGCATGCCTTTCAAGAATTTTATTAAACATGAACGTGATAAAAAGCTTCAACTTATTATACATGAAAGAAGAGAATGCTCCTTATACCAGTGTGAAAATTGACTATGACTATGAAGTTCTCATAAATACAGAAACAAACACATACTTACGACCAGAGGAATATGTATCAAAAGGCAAAACTAGTTTTTATTAATTAATACGTGAGATTTTACGCTTAGAATTTGAAAAAATGAAATTAACAGCAGTTAAAAAGCAGTGAAGAACCGTGAAGAATCGAGGACTAAAAATGAACCATTCGTAAATGTTTTACGCGAATCAGTTGATAAATGAAATTTTCTATCGTATTCAGTGTTATTCAGTTTACTAGGTACAGAAGGTTTCGAGTGCAGAGATATTTGAAAATACCTACATAATACCCGATTAGGTAAAATAGAGTTTACTTATTAGTAAATTTCAAATTTCAAATTTCAAATTTCAAATTTCAAATTTCAAATTTCAACGAATTAGATTTTCTTTAAACATTTTTTAATATTCTTTTAAGAGATTCGAAATATATGTATAATAATTGATGGTGAAGAACAACGAAGGTTAACTTTGATAGTTGAAAAGAAAGTTTGAACGTGGTCATGGTTCTCCATTGAAAGCGAGTTTCCGCTTTTCCGGAGAGTAAGTCTCATTGTCACGCGTTCGTTCGCGAAACAAACTTTTCCTGCTATGTATTTATGAATGAAAACTCTGCTGATCCATATTATTCTATTCGTTGATTTGCGCGCGGCCTTTTCGAGTATAGTTAAACGTAAGAATAAAAAGACGTAGATATCGATCGTTTCGAAGCGGTAATCAATTATAAGAAGAATTTTCAATCAGAGTTTAATGTTCTTTTAATTATAGACGGATCAAAGATTCCGCTGCGACGAATTGATTAGAATTTCAGAGCAGTGTACTTAGATACAACAAACATAAATTGGAAAGGAATCTTGCGGTGTCGGAGCGATATCCTTCCAGCAAAGAAAAGTTTGAAAGTTTCATTTTTTTTTTCCAATCAATCAATTTTCCAATTAATTCACCTTGAATATTGGAAAGTTGGAAACTTGAAATCTTTGAAATTTTCTTTTCTATGAAATTTCTTTCACACAGGTTGATCGAGTTGACCGATTTAAAGCAATATAAAGCAATTTAATACAGCAATAAAGAATAATTTCGTGCTTTCGATTGTCGATGGTATAGCTGTCCATTTTCGACGTACGTCGACTCTTTTCAACCTTGATGGTTATCCAACCGTGGATTTGCAATATCCGTTGAAGGAGGAATCGATGGTAGAAAATATCAGTGGGAAACCACACCGCACAATCCCGTCGAAGCTTACTACTTGTTTTTTCAGCCTCCATGTTGATCGACTTTATTAAAATCTCTATCGAACAGCTGCTGAAAATTCTTTGGATCTTATTATTCGATCCTTTTTTATCCTTGGCGGTTTATTAAATACCATTCTTCCATTCGTATGGGAAGGAATTTCCTCTGATATTAGTTAGCTATATTGTCACCTATCTACATATTAAAAATTCCTTACTACATAAATACATATGTACGTATCGGTCGTTGTTATTTCCTTTTCCTTCGTAGGTGAAAAATTGCGGTAAGAGTATTCGTGTTTTAACAGATCAACAGATCGCGTAAAATCAGAGAAATTCTTCTCCTTATTCTCGAAATCAGTTGTTCCTTTCTTTCTCATAAGTATAATATATATCCAATTCATCCTTTATATGGTAATATAATACCATGAAAGAAATTGAAAGAAATTGAAAGAAATTTCTGCTGAAAGAGGTATGTGTATGTAGGTAGGTAGGTAACTGTATGAAATAAATTCCGTTGGTGACGGGTTTAAAGGTTGAAACGTGGTGTTAAAACAACATCACTACCACCTTCCAACTCCTCATTATTTTCAGTGAAATAATAAATTGTTTTACCGTGCTACGCTTTCGACGTCTCTCTGCTGCGACTTTTAATCACTTTAAACTACGTGTAAGGAGAAGGAATGTTAAAACCTAATACATCGCCAGTTAGAAAAGTTTCCTTCGATCCTTTATAAGAAATTTTTCCTGTTTGAGGGTTGACCTTCCCGATTTCTCGTTCTCGTTCTCGTTCTCGTTCTCGTTCTTTTGAATAATTCATTCGACTAAAGTTAAAGTTTGAATGGCTGGTCTAGCGTATCGTGCGAAACGGACAAGACGAGGAATCCCGATTTGCACTAGAAAGATACCTACCTATCACGCGAGTTGGTTAAATGAATCTTTGAAAAATATCGACAGAAAGGACAGTCTTTCTCTTGAAAAGCATCAGGCTAACGCTGATAAGAGAAAAGTAGCAAGTTTCGATTCATTCGAAAAATTTATGAATTGCATCTTCTCTCGTATCTTGACAGTGATATTTCTTCGAGTACGAGGACGAAAACATCCTTTACGCAATTTGCTTTATATTATCCTTTGGTTGGCTTGAATATAATGAATGATAATCTGTATTAGTAAGAGGTTAAAGCTAGGTACATTGTTACTAGAATAAAAGAAGCTTTCCTCGACATGGTTAGGTTTTATCTATTATACTTTCTTTTTTTTCTTGAAATAACGAGCGATCGACGTAGCGATCGAAAGAAAAAACGAGCTCCAATTACGATTTCTTGACAATCTGGGCGCATCGTGGTCCTTTATCAGGATACCAATCGGTCGGACAATAGCGTCACGTTCAATTCTCTTCCAGCTTCCATTCTGCATCCGCGGCCATTCATCGAGGATACCTTTCTAATTAATTTTTTCAAATGTTACCAATTTCGTCGGTTGCTTTTTCTTTTACGTCGTTATAATATGTATATCAAACCTCCGCTTCTATGCGTATATTGTATTTTGTTTCGAGCAATTCCCTTCAGTTGTTCCCTACAGGTATTCTCACCTGATTTGAATATCCTTGAATCAACTTTGAAATTGTATATTCTTCGGAATCAGAGAAAAGCGTGTTTACTTTCGACGCGCCGCGACGCAAAGGGAGACCTTTCGTAACCTTTCGTAGATGACTCAGCAGAGAAAAGGAAACGAAAAGAAGGAGCTTTTTCGTTAGTGCTACCATTATTGGTAGTAGCTGTCGATAAGAAGACAAAGTGTGCAATTAACGAAAAGCAGGTGGAATAACGATAAATTGTAGTTACTTCATGACGTATATACATACGTTATTTCGAACGCTGTTTGCGAAATCCAGCTGCGTAGGAGGCGAATATCGACAAGCCTTTAGTCAATTCGAATTCCACACGGATATAACTCTCGTATCGAAGGAATTTTAATAAAGAGTCTACGGATCGCTGTTTATTATCGATCCCTACAGATCTTTATCCTTCTATACATATATGTAAAACTGCTACTTATACAATATGTGATATTGATACATAGTTGATACTTTGGTTGTTGAAATGTTAACTAAAAGATTCGAAAGAGAATATATCCTTATGTTTCCAGCTTGTTCTCGGACTTGAGAAGCCTGGCAGGTACGACCCTTATGAATCTCTTGGCAGCCCTCTTCATGGTTCAACTGCTCTTCATCGTTGGAGTGGGTGGCGTTCAGGTAAGTTTCGATAGATTCTCCTCCGACAAAAAGAATCCTCCTTTTTCCTTTTTCCTTTTTCCTTTTTCCTTTTTCCTTTTTCCTTTGTCTCTCATAGTCTCTGATAGAAAAAAAGATAACCGTGCAAGTTGCTCCAAGAATTTGAATTCTCTACAATATACCCGATATAAATGAATACCATATACCGTATGTATGTATAGGAGGAGATAAGTAACGATTTAAGATCCTTTTGAAGAAGCCAAGTAGAATAGCGAAAAGCTTTTTTTATGTAGGTATTTACGTGACTGACGATGAGAACTAACAATAAGTTTGGGATTATCCTTCGTTGCAGACGGGTCTGCATCGGATCTGAATCGACATCGTAAATTCCAAAAGTTTGACAAAATTCTACATAGAATATGAATACATACTCGTTGGTAAAGAACTCGTTTCTTTCAGTTAGCGTGCAATAGTTTGGATATCGTTGATTTAGCATCGTTGTTCGTCGGCTGAAAGCAACAATTAAGATGAATAAAATAGGAGAGGGAGAATTTTATAGAATAAATTCGATTTGTTCCCATGTTTCCCGCGTTCGAATTAATTTCCTGGAATCATAATCAGTGTGCTCTGCCGTATTTCAAGAAAGTTAACTTTTCAAAACAAGTTTCAACTTTTGCGGACAAGAACGACGCGACGAGGGGAAATTGTTAATTTTCACATAGGTAGTTGATGGTAAAATCCGAATACATAGAAAATAAGAAGAAAATAATTCGAGCTGCGTGTATCGAGTACGAAAGCAAGAAAAGGGAAGTTATTCGCTGGCCAACGCAACGGGAAAAGACTTTTATCGGGTTTTCCGTGACGCTTGATTACACCCGCTCGACTTTGATTGCGTTTTCCTTTCGTACGTTCCTCGTCCCGTGCCCCCTACCACTTTTCTCTCAAATTACCGATTTTTACCTTTACGAGCATCTTTGTAAATATTTAATTTCCCGGCTTGGTAAATTATTTGTTGGGAAAGAAATTGAAATTTTAGCTTAATCATCATCATCATCATAGAGTAATGTTTCTTTAAAACTGTAAACTGTAAACTGTAAATCTTGAACGTTTGCCTTTGATTTAACCTCCTTCGTTAACTCGGATACCTTCCGCAGAGTACAGTTTTGATCGATTAATTCGCTATTCGTCAACGAATCAGAGAGTGAATTGTAACCCTAAACCCCTAGATAAACAATTTCGATATACATATATACATGAATCATGTTAACGTAAAAAGTTTGATGGATGGAAGAAGAAAAGGGTTGGAAGTTTTGAGAAGAAACATTGCTGCTGGTGAACGTAAGAAAAGATGTCGAATGTGTACATTTTGTTGTAAATCACGAGTATCCATGTACACATATGTATGTATGTATGTATGTATGAGAGAAAAGGTACTACTACACGTACTACCTCGGTTCAAGGAAATATATTGCTCGATTTTTTTCGACTACCCGAGTTAAATTTACTTGAACTCTATTTTGGTATTTTCAACTTTTTCTTATTTGGCGAATTGTTAGGTAAAGTCTAATTCGTTGGAACAGTATGTGTTAACATTCCATGTAGAAGAAAGGGAAGGCAGAACAGTGAAAGGGTGAAACGATGACTAAAGGAAAGACACGTTTCGCGAAATGTTTCAGGACTCGGAGCTGTGCATTTCCCTGGGGTTGAGCTTACAGTATCTTCGAATGACGGTGGTTTGTTGGCTGGCTGCAATGTGTCATCACCTTTATGCCACCGTTGCTTCGATACCACGCCGTGACGACCCACCGACCTACCTGAAATATAGCCTCTTCGCTTGGGGTGCTCCTTTTCTCAATCTTGCCTTCGCTACTTTTCTGCAGATATACCAGCTGAACCAGGACATCTGGAATATCAGGGATCTGACACCGTTCAATTGCTGGTAATTCCTTTCGTTTAATCAATTAGGGAATTTAATCATTAGGGAATGATTAAGGTAAGGTAAAAGGACAGTCGCGTCGATAATTATAATAGCCAGATGACATATATGAATGTATACCAAGACCGAACCGAATTCATATTTCGGGACTTGTCCCTTTTATTTATTTTCCCTTTACCAACTATAATACAACGCGAGATAGTGTGTTTCGTTTTATCTTGATAAAAGTTTAGAAAGAAAAAAATTCATGAAACTTGGATTGATTTAAGGTGAAATTTATTGCAGGTTCCTGGGGACTACAGCGACGATTTATGCATACGGTTTACCAGTGGTTCTTCTACTTCTTTCCGCAGGATACTATCTGATAAAAGCTGCGATCGTGTCTAGGTATCGTATGATGGAATTTCCTCGTTTTAAAGAAGGAATTAATATTGGTTTCGTTTGCGCAGATACACATGCAGCATGCAGTTGGAAATTAAACAACGCGAAAAAATGAAGAGAAGAAGAGCGCTGCAGTTGATACTGTTTTTAAAAGTGAGCATGATAATAGGTCTGGTCGCTGGTTGCGGGGTCGCGTCCAGAATATGGAAAGTACCTTTCCTATGGGCGGTATTTTGCACCGGTCACTCTCTTCAGGTAAACAAATGATTTACATAGTCGTTATGGTTTGACATAGCACGTTCGAGATTTCAATTAGTTCAAGTTACAACGAGCACACCTACGACTTTCCTACTAATGCGGGCCGTTCCAAGTGGTGGTTAAAAAAACGCGAAAGCAAAACAAAGGTATTATAATTGCTAATTATCGAAATTTTCTTAATTACATTTACTTTTACGATTAGATCGAATATTACATAATATTTCTGATGGAAGAAATTGCCGTGTCGTTGGTAAAAACTTTCCGTAGACCGATATTCGAGTTTTCCATGGCCATTTTCCATGCGACGCGACCGCGACGTCGAGGAGTTGGTATTGGAGTAGGTTACTCTATATACTTTTTCCAATCGATTCACCTTTTCAATTCCGTTCACCTTGATCATTCCTTTCTTATCTACGCTTTCCCACCTTTTTACCTAGCTCCTTTGGTATTCTATCGATTATAAAAAATCATTCGATATAATTTAAGCGTCGTTACACGGTTCGAAGCCAATGTTACACGCGCTCGAAAGAGGTAGAGTTGCCTTGCCAGAAGGAGGGGAACGGCGCTAAACAACCCCCTCGAGGAGAACTCGTAAAATTTTCATAACGAGCCAGGGGGATTCTCGCCGAACAACGAAAACACCTTGTAACAAAATCTTTATTTCGAACAGTTGAGACGCGAGCAGAATAAAATACGGCACGAAGAGGTCGCTTATGTTCGCGGACGTAATACGATCACATCTCGTGCGGAATGATTGCCATTCTGACAAAAGTCCTATTATGTCAGATTTTACGACGTTACGATCGCTATAAACGCCACTTTTCAGCAACTCGTTTACTTTTCATTCTTTTAAACAGGGTCTAGCCGTGGCGTTATCCGTCGCGTGCAACTGCAGAGTGCTGAAAGTTTACGCGAGGAAGTCTTATAAGCAACCGAAACAACAGGTAAATTTCATCTTTTTTCCATTTATTTTCACTTTTACAAAGTTCAACTCTCGTTGTTTCATTAACTTTGCCTGCTGTTCGCGAGTAAGGTAATTTAATAAACCTACGAATTTCTGCTCGACGAGAATCTTCCTCTTCTTGAAAATGCAACTTTCTATTCATTACGAAAACTGCTTATAATAAAAATAGAACAGAGTGATTTTTGTTTAAACCTAATTGTAAGTGTAGAGGGGTGACCGAGTAATTTTCGGAGATTCGAGGATCGTGTTGAAACAGCTGACGACTATGTGTGTGTGTGAAAAATCAATGCTTTTACAGATCGCTCATTCGAGTAGCAGCATGCAGCTGCTCGCACCTGCTCCAGACCCAGTCTAGGTCCACCTACAACTCGATCACTTTCTTCTCGTCGATGAAAATGGAAGACGAAAAAAGAATAGAAAATAGATACACTACTGGTGACGACAGTATCCTAAGATTTCGATTCGTTTTAGGTGAGCATAGAGATCTAGTAACGCGAATAGAAGATGATCTCGGTAATGATCTCTCACGATTACACCACGTAACATTCAAGTGCCAGACCGTGAACTAAGGAATATTAATATTCCTAATATGATAACCTTCCTACATCTTCTTTTTCATTCTTTCAGCGTTACATCGCTTTCATATAGCCTAGCTTACACTGATAGAATAAGCGGTAAAGTATATATTCATTTGAGTTTTCTCGTTTGAGAACAAGTTGATCATACATATGTACCTATACATATAATAATAATAATAATAGTAGTAGAAATCGGTTATAATATATTATATGCCATTTTCTTCTTACCACTGTTGGTACACTTTACCACTTATACTGTACCAATTTAATCTGGGCTTAATACTTTTTTACAACTACGACAGGAAAGTGCAATTGTAAAAGATTCAAACTTAATACATACTTCTTGACCAAACAACGCTCTATCAGTTGGTATAAATTTGAAGAAAGACTAGGGAATAGATATAGAAACGAAAGGGTGGAAATGGAACGTGTCGAGTACATATAAGTATTATACGTGTACGTATGTACGTATGTACGTATGTACGTATGTACGTATGTACATATGTATATCGATCGAACGCGAAAGGAATCCACACTCGGCGTGTACGTTTCTCGCGGTTTGTGGCTGGCATTCCCCACTACGATGCAATTAACGCTCGGTAATGACCTATGCGATCGCATTAGTACGCGTAACCGCTGGTACTATGTAACTGTAAGCGCATGTAATTACCACCAAATAAATATTTTCAACTCCTACAGGAAAGAATTACGAGTTTCAACAGGCGAAAAGATTAATACCGAGCAGGAAAACAGCAGGAAGAGGAGATGGAAAAGTCAGCGCGAAAGGTTTGCAGTTGAACGCGTAATTATTGGAAAAGTAATCCGTTTTAATATCTGGCAATGCCAACGATGTATGTATGTATGTATGTATGTATGTATGTATGTATGTATGTATGTATATATATATGTACGCTTTCAACTTATACAAAGTTGATGAATTCTAATGATCCATCATTTGTCTTGATTTAATTAGTTTCTAAACAAACAATTTACTCTTTCACAAAACAAATTTTTCATTCTCAACTCGATGCACCTTCAGCGTTTAACTACGATTCCATAACTAATTTCTTTCACATGTAAACCCGGATCAAAAACTCGGCTACTACTATCTATACATGTACATATAAATTTAGCACATTATTTCTCTCTACGTAACTACCTATTAACGTATTACCTACTCACATAGTACGTGTGTAGGTATATTTTAATTCTAAAGAGTTAGAGACAAAGCAGACCATGAATAAGAGACTGTTAAACAATGTAAATGTCGTCAAAGTGAGTGGACCGCATTCGTGTCTCGTCCTTTTCAACCGACCAGCAACCTGCTGACATTTAATTATCGGGAAGCATCAAGATGGATGGGGTGCAACCACCAACCGCACCCCTTTTTCTCTCTTTAATACCCGTCAAATCGACTCTTTTATCGCTTCAATCCGATCCTCGATTTCAGATATTGTCCTTTCCCACGACCTATTTTTACCGTTGCGACGTTGCGACGTTGCGCGAACGTACAATATGTACTTGTTTTATTACCGAGTGATTTCGATCAGTCGATACACTATTATTGCTATTTCATTATTCGAATGAGTAATAAGTATTTCGATCTAAATGCAATTATGGAATGTAATGTTACATGTAAAATTACATACATAATATGATAAGATTTTAAGAGGAAAGAAAAAGAAATGTCGGGAATAAAAATTTTCCAACAGTTGGTGAAATTACTACGATCAAACGCGTTTCCCTTCTTCCAATTAATTCTTTATTCTACTTTACGATCTAACCGTCCTTGTCGAATTAAAATAACTCTCTAATGCAATAGCCGTCTATCAGAAAAAACAAACAACTAACTTGTTGTTAACAATTTAACTTGTATGTACTTTACTCATGTATTTCAAATATTTCAAATCCTTTTCCGTAAACACATAAAATTGCTTCATCCCTAAAATAATAAGTAAATTTTTTAATAATACATAATGTTTGTTTAACATTAAAAACATTACGTACGTATCAGATGTAAACATACTTTGAATTATACCATAAAGTCAGCCCTTTCACATCGGTTACACAGGTAAAGATTTTCTTTAAAATTGTTACAGATAAAAAATCGTCATTGTAATTATAACTATACACAATGATTTGTTGGTCTATTCCAACGGTAAAAATTTTATCTTTGTGAAATTTTATTCCTATAACGAAGAAAAGTATATAAAATTAAATAAATTCTCCCACTGATCAATATGTATGTAAGTATGTGTTACTTGAAGTAACACTTATTTAGGAAACACTAATATCAGCGTACCTGTAATTTGTGCAGCATGTGCAGTTGAAGTGTTCCATTTTGATAGCAATGAAACACGTAACTGTTCATTTTCACTCGATATCGAAATTTTAAAATGAATAACATTGAATAAATTATCATCACCGCCCGTTGCCAAACAATATTTCTTGTTTCCAATCATTTTTATGTCGTACGAATTAATTCCAGATTGATGCAAATTAAATTTCGCAATAGATACATCTGTGTAATTGAAAAATTCTTCTTTTTCACAGTTCGGTTCTTTTACAATATTTGAAACGATCTCGGTAAAATCGATAAAACGAACGATTCCGTCAGTTGACATCGTTAATGCAATTACCTTCTCTTCGTACTTTAAGATTGTTATTTTTACTATGCAACGACTCGCGCATTTTGCATGTATTTTTAACGAAATATTTCTTGTATTAGTGTCGTACAAAAATATCCTGCAAATAATTCACTTGATTCAATATCTAAATACGTAAAACTTATTAGTAATTAATTTAATCTTATTTATATTAAAAGAAAAAGAAGATTAAAATTAAATGGTAAGCATGGTAAAAAAGAATAATAGGTATTTATATACATATGTATACATATACCTTGTAAAACCATCCGCGCAAGCAACAAAAAGCAATATGCAGTGCAGGTTCGTAGTATCCCGATAAATTCTACCGTCCATATATCGAGTTTCAGGTTGTAAAATATAAGATCGATTAGAATCTTGCCAACGTTTTTTACGGCATCGATCAAATCCGTACAACATATGAGATGTAACGTCACGACAAGAAACATCTGTACTTTGTAAACATTTTTTACTATTATTTATAGCGATTTCCCACACTTTCAATTGGGCTCTGCCACCCCCAGAAAATACAAGATGATTACTGCACGAGAAATCAGATGTTTCTAAACATAACGAACCTATAAATTTTACACTCGAGATGTGACCATCAAAAATACCTAACGTTTCTAGGCAACAAATATTTTCCATCGATGCAGTTGAAACACAACTAACACGGACAGTACCATCCTCTCCTCCGGATATAAATAAATTATGCGTATTGCTCTTTAATACAGGCTCCATGAAATTTACTTCTTTCGTATGAAAACCATTCTAAAAGAAGAAAATCTTCTTCGAATATACATAGAAATATTTTATAATAAACAAGTGTAACTTACTAATAAATCCGGCGATTTTAAAGCAGTTAAAGGAAAATCAAATATGTATACTTCTTTATTGCGAATATAAAGAAACGAAACGAGTTCGTTCAGTACGATACAATCCCATGATCGATGCCCGCCACCGCAAGGAACTCTCGCTACGATTCGACGATAAAACATACTGTATATCACGAATTCCGTCTGAAAATAGTAATTAAAAAAATTATTTTAAATACAATAGAAGGTACAATAATAATAATAATAATAATATTTACTTCTTTGAAACCCAATATAAAAAGATCGTTAGATACTTTTAAACTGCCACTAATCCAATCCATTGGCATTTTCTCCGAATGTAAAGGGCATAACGATCTTTTATTTTTATGTTCAATTACATCGTAAAATCTTAACATTCCATCACGACCTCCTGATATTAATTTTGAATGTAAAACTACCAAATTTTGGATACCAATATTTCCATGAACTTTATGAAAAGTTTGAAGAGGTTTCTTCCTCATTTCAGTTATATTTATCCGATCATCCGAGGTATATTTTTCTAGTTCAAAAACATGCATATTTCCACTTCTGTCTCCGCACACTAATAGCTCTTTACACAGTATCGCTGCTGTCAACCAACGTTCTCGACTTTGTGGTAACAAACATATTGATAGAATAGTTACTGATCCTATATAAAAAGAAATTCTAATTAATTTTTATTCAATCAAATCATATCTTTTCCGCGTACCTTCCATAGTGAAACTGAATATCTTTAGAATGCCATTTGATCCAGAAGCTACTAGTTCATCATTTCTTAACCATTGTACAGAGAATATTTTTGATTCCATTATCTTGTCCTCAGCGATCAGCTGCAATATTTTCTTAGTGGTAACATCACCTTCTAAAAATATTTTCAAAAAGTTAGTCAACGCTTGATAACATTTTATTAACATTTATTATTCAAGCTTATTTTCTTTACCTTTGTAAATTGTTATATATCCATCTTTTGACGCAAAACAAACGTAGGAATGGCACAAAGAAACTTCCATGACACAATATGTATTACATCTTTCTAGATAAACGGTTTCTTTCGGTTTACCGTGCCACCTATCATAAATACATACAGTCCCATTTTCATTGAAAATTAAGGAATTACCGCTACTTAAATAACAATTATATTTTGGTAAACCGATCGTATCTTGTCTAGATAATAACACAACTGGTTCAACATAATCGTTAGTAAAAAAAGGCCATGCATGAACTGCGCCATCAGCCCCACCGGTAAAGATCCAGTTATTATCATTTGATATATCAATGCTCCATATAGCAGCCCCATGATGAGCACAAATTTTCTTAAGTAATTTACCATCCAATGACCAGGTACACATATGAGAATCCTTCAAATTCAAAAATATGCCAATAGATGATTATACCGTTTACTGTACGTTACATAATAAAAATATGCAGGATATTTACTTCTCCTATGGTAATCAAAGCGTCGTTTCTAATTACAGATTTCCATACTCTAGCCGTATGACCAAACATTGTTTTTCTCAGTTTAATTTTCACTTCCTTCCAAATTATATCATTTTCTTTACTTTCATTGCTATTTACTTCCCATAATCTGACTGTTCTATCATCGGACGTAGAGCAAATCAGTCGAGTAACTGGATCGTATATCACCGAAAAGATTACACCCTATACAAAATTCAATGTTTACACTCTTAAACGTAAACGTAAACGTAAAGCGTTTAGAAAAATAAGAAAAAGAATACTTCAAAGTACTAACAAAGATACTAACATTATGTCCATGTAAACGATGTAAAACTGGTGAAATTTCAATACACGAATAACTATAATTTATTTCCCATATTAATATTTCTCTATATACCGTTCCACTAAAAATTACCAAGTCTTTCTGGTTTTTCACAAACATCGATCCACCGTACCTAATGGTAAAGTTAAGTTTATAACGTATAATTCTCATTTAAACAGGTAAACGTAAGGATACAGAATGCATTTTTCTTTGCACCATACATTTTGACTGCGTTCCTTGGAAGAATCATAAATGCACACGCTATTGTGTGCTAACAAAACTGATAAATAATCATATCCATCGTACGTTAACCATTTTGCTGCTATTATCCAATCGTCAAAGCATTTATTACTAAATACTTCCTCGATTCTAAATAAGTAATAAAACTTCAATTATTACGTGCCATTTTATTAATGTCATTTAACTTACATTAATGTTCCTTGATTCTTCTGGATATTATACGCGCACAAAAAGTCAGCACCAAACACAGCTAACATATCGTTAGGACCTTCAATAATTCCATGTATACTGTGCGGATAAAGACAATTAATCTTTTTTTCTAACTTATAGGTATCGGTACCAAAAACGTGCAACGTGCAACCCATACCTGTAATAACAAAACTAATAATAAGTAATAAGAAACACATGAAACGAAAAGGTGAAAAAGTTAAAAAGAACATTAAAGCTATAAAAGTATATATCGTTTTAGTTAACGAAAGGGATCAAATATTTTATTGTAATTTTTTAAAGATTATAAAAATTATACTCTACTAACCTACAAAAACTAAATCATTGACACAACGAATGGCAAGCACATCTGCACATAAAAGTTTTGAAATCATTTTGAGAAGTAATATTAATAATTTGATAGCGCGGAACAGGTATTTAGCGCAGTACAGGTATTTATGTAGATTCGTACCCACAGCACGTGCCTGACGTGCCTGATGTGTCTGCGGACAGTCCAGTTTATTTACACATTATCCATACATATGTTAGTCAACACGTATTTATGTTTGTGGGATGAAATCACAAATTATAAGAAGTGCATGTGTTGTGATTTATTGTATTTATATACATATATTAATCATACATACTACTACCTAACATTATTTATTTATTTACTTGCTGCTAAAAAAACCTGTAATCTTCCAAAAATTGTGATTTGATATCAACACTATATTTACATAAATACATATGAATTGTTATTAACAATGTCAGTATAAAACATTTTATTCTTTTTGTCAATTATTTATATACATTTTTGTAAAATTTTTGTTAAATAATTTATAAATTATTTGGTAATACTGATATATATATGTATAATATCAAGTACTTATGGAATAATGTTTTATTTAAATTTTACACACGCGTTTACTGGAAAGTATTATCGTAGATAATAAAACGAAATATTCGTATAGGTTATTACTATTTAATTATAAACAATTATAAAAGCAATAATGTGGGTATTCGGATATGGTTCGCTTATTTGGAAAGCCGATTTTCCATACGAAAAAATTCTTGTTGGTCACATTAAAGGATACGTCAGAAGATTTTATCAGAAAAGTACAGATCATAGAGGAGTACCTGACAGAGTATGTATTTATATGTAATATTTATATGTTTATAATGCATATCATATCAAACTACATATACAGAAAATTATGTTATTTTATAGCCTGGTCGCGTTGTGACGTTACTTTCTTCAGATAATCTTAACGACCAAGTATGGGGTATCGCATACAAAATATCACCTCAAAACATAGATACAGTCGTCAAACACCTGGACTACAGGGAAAAAGGAGGTTACGAAAGAAAAAGTGTTCTCTTTTATCCATCCCATTCGCTGGAAGATATTGGATCATCTTTATCAGCAAATAATAGTTTTCACATTAATTTTGAAAGTAAAAAGTTATCACCTGTATCTTCGGATATCATACCATTTTATATCACAATTTACATAGGAGGAGAAGATAATCCAAATTATGCAGGTGTAGAAGATATACATACAATAGCGAAACAAATACTTGTATCTCATGGTCCTAGCGGGGCTAATACAGAGTATTTGTATAAATTAGCATCTGCAATGCGAATAATAGCATCAGGTATATACGATGAGCATTTATTCGCATTAGAAACAGCTGTAAGAACATTGGAGCATGAACGAACCATAAGAATAGAAAGAAATCAAAATCTATCCGCTGACCAAAACAGATGAAGAATTGATTTAATTAGAGGACTTAAATTTTAGATAATTTCACGAAGACTTTGTATTTATTATACGACAAATTAATAAAATTAAAAATGTACACGTAAAAGCAATCTGTGAACGCATTTTTAACGTCAATTGACCGATTCACTTTTCGTAACAAAGAGCGTATCATAATCAACGCTACAGTTGGCTCATGAATTACATTTAACAAGTATTGTACTGTAATTAGAATGAAGAGAACATCGAAATTTGATTTGTATTAGAAAACATATATAGTTTCTAATCACATTATATTTAATTATATTCAGTATTATATAAATTAATAACTTAAATTTTATACATGTACGTTTAAGAAAGTAAATAAATCTTATACAAGTATTACATTTTACAAATACGGTATATTTGTTATATGTAAATGTCATGTGATTAAATATACGTACATCCATACATATGTATACATTTAAGTATGCATGTGTACATACATACATACATACATACATAAGTATGTACCTAAAATCTGTAGAATTTGAAATAGAAATTGAAAATTCCTTTCAGTTTCATAATGATCATTTTCGAATTGAGAAAACTAATGAAATACCGATAAATTTGACAATGAAAATCAAAATTAACATTCACGGAGGGACTACTTTTTGTTACGCTCGAGCGTGCGATGACGCGTAATGATCAGCTGGATGTAGTAATACATACGATGTAGCTCCGCCATTTTTTATTGTTAGAACAACTGTCAAACCGAATAGTTCGTTTGTAATTCTATTTCCTATTTATACCGACAAATACGATAATAAAAAGCCAAGATTGGGTGATCCATTAACGTGAAAGCGTTTCGGACGCATCCGGGTAAGTTTTCTTTTCAAATTTTATTGTTTTTTAGAATTCATTCTGAAAATACGTAAATATACATACACATGTAAGTACATAGTTCCATACAATATTCGACAATGTATAAGTTAAACAAAATGGTGGTAATGAGAAAAGTGTATATGTACATTTATTTCCAAATGTTTGGTAATTTGCGAGTTACATTTTACTCAATATAAAATAGAAAATGATCGAAATTATATCGATATTTTTCTGGTTGCGTTATCGCGTACTCGACAGTGTTTAACATGTTTTAATCGATGGTTCGACATTTAATGAACAAACAATACGAATCGTATACGTCCTTGTTTATAAGTAGTTTTACATTTATCATAACTGAAGACCTAAAAAATTGGCTCGTTTGAAAGTAACAAAGAGTCTTTTTCACTCATTTAGTATATTGTGCGAAAATGATGTGAAAGTTATTTGAACCTTTAATCTTGAGCAACCGATTTGTGTATTTAAAAACAATGTGTTTATTGACAAAATGTTTTTGTTAAGTACGTTGATATATCGTTTCACGTTACTTCGTTTAATTTCGTACGTACTCGTGGTGATTCGGATATTACTCATCCGCGACGATTCACAAAGCAGATGTGGATGTGAGTTATACAGTATCGTTCGAACAAGCGTTCGGAGAGCGTGTTTTGCTCCTTGTAGGAGCTCATTGCTCTTACGTAAACAAAAAAAAAAGTGTATCATAGTTTTTGAATGATTTTGAAATCTGACGGGAATAAGTAAGTTTAAACTTATGCGTACAATTTAATTACCATCAGAACGAATATTTCCCGCCAAGAACGATGAATCGATTCATGATCTTTCATGTATGTATAAATTTTTTGTATACATAGACACATGTATTTCCCCATTAATTTGTTGCATGTTACAAATGAATCGGTGAATATATTGTTCATATAAAAATATATTTTGGTTTTGGAAAAAAAAGATTACATGTATTATAAATGATATGTTTCAAACATTTGTGTTTAAATGTAATTAATGTTAGTTAAAGTTAAACTATACTTTATCCGTATATTTATTTTTTTATGTCTTTAAATCTGATATTTAGGTAATCGAAAGGAATTTAAAAGGATCTTTATGTTACGATTAATTTTGACAGTTCGTTGCATCAGTTGTCCGATACCTCTTTGTCTGTTTCTTATTTTTTTACTTTTTTTTTGGTCAATGATACGAATTAACATAGTCGCAAATTGTAATTATTTTTTCTTTTGTACGATTTGAAAGGTAATATATTCCTGAAGTAAGAATTACACGTTAACGCAGTATCAAACGTTTTCTAGATATTTCTACCAATAATCTGTAACTACTGTTACATTCGGTACTACGTTACAATATACATACATATGTATATATACGTATATTCTTTAAACGAAATGAAAATGTAACTAATGGTTTCATATTTACAACATATTTTATAATAATGTATTCGAGTATTTTATTTATGTATAAAGTTTTATGAAAATTCGATCGAAGTAGATTTTGAATTTAATGTACACAGTTGAGAGGTAACGATAGGTAAGATAAAGATGAAAGATTAAACGCGGTCAAAGTTATTTCGAATGAATTATTTTTCTTTTTTTTTTTTTTCAATTAAATTCCTTTAAATTTTTGGCCATCTTATTTGACGGCGCCTGATTACGAACACGTAGACACGAAAAAAAGATGAAGAAAATGTTGTTTATAGTAAATAAATTTCAACATTGACACAGCAAATTGTTAATGATTAGGTGAAAAATATGAATTTTATGTTACATTACGAAAACGTTGTACATATACATACTTATAGTATCTATTATTCTCAATACCACTTTTTTGGAGTAAAGTTGTTGAAGCGTATTTAAATAGTTCTTGCCATTATTGTAAATCAGTAATAATAACAAAATGAATAATATATATGTATATATTAAAATGAAATCGTCTTGTACAAGTATGTCTATATTAATGTTACTTATTTTTTTTTTTTTTTGTAGATACAAGGCTAGCCAGCTGCGCCATTCTTGTTGTGTGACATTCATATCATCAGCCACACTACACATTTTGTGTTCTTCTTTATTCTTTCATCGTTGCTGTAGTAGTGAGCTGCAAGTCACACATTGCAGGAATGGGCACATCGGGCTTGCCTGTACCGGATGCAATCCACCCTTTACTCGAGCAATTGCAGGAAGCTTTGGTTCTTGAAGTGAAATATCAACCTAACCTACAGTTACCTACTATGTCACAAGTAAGAAGCGTTGACAATACGAAATAACTTAATATTTAATAGTCTCGTTACTATAATATTATATCTTGTTCTCTCGTTGATATAAACATGATGTCGATCCGTTTTAGACCGAGGAAATAACAATCGGAGCTCGTGATGGATCGGCTCACGTGCTAAGATGCTTGAAAGTATGGTACGATCTACCATCCGACGTATTTTTTGTTGCCATCAATTTGATGGATCGTTTCTTAACAAAGATGAAAGCAAGACCAAAACATATGGCTTGCATCAGTGTATCCGCTTTTCACATAGCTGCAGTTCAGTTGGCACAGTCTTTAGATGCCGATCACTTAGTTTCCATTTCTCAGTGTAAATGTACCGGTGGTGATTTGAAACGTATGTCGGAAGTGATACAGAATAAGTTGGAATGGGCACCTGGTACGCAACCTATTACATCCTTAACTTTTCTTCGGTTATTCAATGCAATGTTTCGTACCGTTGCAACTGAACTAGGATCAGGAGAAGCGTATACCAGTATGATCACAGTGAGTGTCATGTTTTTTTCTTCTGTTTTTAAATTTGCATAAAGATAGATTTGTAATTTATGTTATTTCAGGAATCAGAGCTTCTTCTGAGGTTAGAAATGGTTGCTTGCGACGGTAATTGTGCCAGCTTGAAGCCGTCAGAAGTGGCACTCGTTCTACTGTGCATATATTTAGATAATGCTGTTAATCGATTGGATACTAATACAGACCACACCATATCTGTAACAGTTACTTCTAGCTCCTCTGCCATCAATACATCTGTAACAACAACAAGAAAGCATCAGATGCTTAGAGTTTTAGAATTTGCAGTGGAACTTCAGAAATTATGTAAGGTAAAATTACAATAATCTGATGACTATCAGGTATCCGTAGTAAATTGATAAATCTAAGTAAGAAGTTAATAACCATTTGTTTGGTATATTTTTGTTTAGATTTCAGATACAAGTTTCTTTTCTACGCACGAAGCTGTGGGTGCTGTATTAAGCAAATATAACGCCCAAGAACAAACTCCTCACAGACAAAGACTGATATGGAAATTGTCATCTCGTACAGCGCGTCTTCTACGTCCAACTGATAAATTCATTTCTGTATTACCTGTCATCGCTGAACACGCTCCGGTTCCTTCACCGAGTAAAATTAGGTAAATAAAGCAGTATTTCTTGACGGGGAAACGTTCATATACCTGCAAACAAAAAGATTCAACATTTTTATTTAATTCATTTTCAGAAAAAATCGTAAGTTCGGTCGACGTCATGGAAATAAGAGGCGTTAAATGAAATGACAGTATCGAGGCCTTAAAGTAAGATATTTATTTTCTTAATTACAAGATCAAATGACACGCGTCGCAACTAATGATAGATTATTTTTAAGGTGCTGGATCAGAAGTGAAATATTCGTCCAAGATACCGGGCGAGAAAGAAAGTTCGACTTTAGTTCGAAGTTGAAAAAAGAAATTTTTTTTTTTTACAAGTTAAATAGAAAGTACAAATGATGATGTATTTACGTCGTATGGCAAAATGTCAGATATCTTCTATATCGTTCGTCGAAAAGTCAACATGAAAAAATTATTCATTAGTCGTAATCCGATATAATTTGCCTTTTTCGAAACGTGTTAAAGATTACTTTATTTCAATTACATCATTAATTTTATGAAAAGAGACAATGATTTCTATAATCTCGAATGTTCAACGTTCGCTAAGTATTACCGCTATAAAGCATACGAGTGCTGTGTAACATTCGTGAAAGAAAAAAAAAGGGGGAAAAATAAAAGGGGGGGAAAAAAAAAAGGATACGAATCGAAACAGCATATTTTAGTACATATTATCTTGAAATTGAAAAGAGCAACATAATATTTTAGTAATATCAAAAATTAATGTGATACAATGTCCAATATAATTCGTGCATTATGAATACGAACATTATCATAAGTATATTCATATGTTCGCGAAACACGTTAACGAAGCGCGAATAAATTGATTATATACGAGTATGAATATAAGATTAAAAATTTATTTAAAAAAGAAATTATATAAAATTAATGAAATCAATTGAATCGATTGAAACGTTAATAATAAATCTTACAATGGTAAAAAAAGGTTGACAAAATTGAAAGTTTGATATTTTGTCGCGAGACTGTATTTAAATAATGATGATGTATCGTTGAAGAAAAGACTATAAATTACTGTAAATAGAGTAAATTTCTGTTAAATGTTTTATTAATACGTCAATGAAGTAAAAAATGTAATAATGCATTTATAGTAAACAATTCGAGCTGCTTAACCTTTTGCACTCCAATTGTGTTTCTCAAACATTTTTTGCACATTGTCTGTTTATATAGTCCCATTTTGCTAATTCGTTGTTGTATATGTATAAAGCTTATTTACCCTATTGAAGGTAATTTATGAACGATGACCAAAAGAATCTCAAAACCAAAAATCAACGGTTGCCTTTAAAATGTGTAAATCATATTTAATATGATTCTGAATCAGTTAGGATTTAGGTAACGTTTTTACGAAGTGATTATATTTAAAAAAAAAAAATATTTGAAAAATATGGCGTATATGTATATCGTTTATAAATACAATTAAGAGCGCAAAGGGTTAGTGTAATGTAACCGAGTGCATTAAGCAAACTTCCTAAAATGCAACACAAAAAACGTCAGCTGTGAAAGTATATTTACGTATAAAATTAATTTAAGGCATATAGTATTATAGAATTAATTATTAGTTTCACTGCCACAGTTTGTGATAGGATTTTTTACTAATGTAGTTTTCAAATGTGGCAGTTATTCAATGGCAGAAAAATACTGAAAGGTATTTGAAAATTAAATGTTTATCTGCAATAATTAACTGTCTACTTATTTCATACATCAGGCTTTGCGTTTAAATATGTACTATAGAGAAGAAAAAGAAACAAAAAAACTTCAAATAAGGTATATAACATCTCCTGGAAAATGTAAAATGATAATAACACAGAGAGAGAGAGAGAGAGAGAGAGAGAGAGAGAGAAAAACGATATTACAAGAAAAGAAGAAAAACGAAGGTATTATATATTCTTACTGTATATAAATTACTTTGATCTAAAATAACGCATATGTATGTATTTAGAATCATGAAGAAATAATTCTAACGAAACACAACAATTTAATTTCTGATATATCTGTATCTTTAGCCAGTTTATGCTAGTCATGAATCGTATTTACGTCACGAATCATTTCATTTCATCAAAATATTTGTAGAAAATAAATTACTGGAGCAGGACAACAGATTGAAACACGAACCTGTTATTGAAACATGTAAATGATCAAAATTCTGTACATATGTATTTTCAGAATGCGTTTATAATTTTTTAACACCGATTTTTCTCGATTCATTTGTATCAGCGTTTAGTAGTCGATATTATATACCAAGTGAAGTATAATAATGAAATAAAACTGAAGAATACGTAATAAACGATACGATAAGATTCAACGATCTTTTCGAACGAACTTGATACTTTCTTCTTTGTATAATATAAATTATATTTATGCGTAACAATGTTAAGTGCAATGTAAAATATTCTCTATGGACCATTTAACTTGGAAATATAACCGCTGTCTTGAAAATGTACAATACACAAGATATACATATTCGTAAATGTATCGGTGCGTTACATTCACATCTTTTCTGGCTGTACTTCGTAAAACCTTAATGCTTCAAATTGGCCGAAATTGTTGGGAATAGTCTTCTTCTTTTTAATAAAAATTATGATTCCAAGAAGGATTTTTGGCGACTGGACTATAACCCATTAGGATCGATCTGCAAATTGAGTGGAGACATAGAATAAGGAATATATAGAGTTTTCAACGCACGAAAACTTTGCCTCGGAAAAGAGTATTTCGCGGAAAGGTCGGTCTTCGAATGTATGTATGTACGGTATGCGGAAAGTTTGTCTTCGGAAAAGTCAATTTATCCCCTGTGGCTGGGGGTTTAGAATACAGCCACGGTAATCCCTGCCTGTCGTAAGAGGCGACTAAAAGGGGGCGTTGCTACGATTTCGGGTCTGGGGCATAGACATAGGAAGTATATTTACCTATTTTTGATTTTAGAGCAAGGTTTCTTATGTATATACCGGCAATTTCACCAATTTGCGTATAGTTGCTTCTCCATATTTAAATAAACTATTATTTCCTATGCCCTACTTTCTACATTCCAAGTTATCTTTCTAACTAACTGTTTGTTTTATTGTTGCATACGTTTGAGAATACGCGTAGCCATGATGGCGGTCACGGTCGATCGATTTATCGATCGGGAGTCGTCCATCTAGGTGAACGCGTGAACAGTGGTCTTCTCGCCGGCTCGCGCGCAACGACGCCATTATCGAGCATCGATTCATCAAGTTCGGACTCCTGTTCTCTGCATTGTTGAATATTTCAAGTGCAGTTCAGACGAAAATATGGACCATCGAACGGTCGGTGAAACGCTCAAGATCCGCAGCAACAGTGCAAGCGACCGGATCAATTACAGAATTAATTCATTGTACACGCGAGCCGCCAACCACGCGTCGATCACCCACATGTTCACGGCCACCATCAAAAGCAGCGGGCTGAATTTATATAATTAACGGCGCTTATTTGCTCCCTGCTAGCACTCTTGTAAATTCTCTATTCAATTTGTATATACCTTTGTCGAAATAAGATGCTACATTTATTCAATATATTTTATATTCCATGACTAAGCCTACTCTCATGGCTACCCGTTTCGTTTCCGACCGTTGTTACTTATTACCTATAAATATGTTATTTTTGCAATTATAGTGCGGTTGGAAGTATTCCAAGTCTCCGATCGACTATTTATATGTAAGTTTGATTGCTTGGTGTAATATTTTTACTTGTTTTATCTTATTTCCTTTGAGTGTCCTAACTCTCACCCTAACCCCTTCGCCTAACCCTAACCCTAGCATGGTAGGTGTGTATGTGCCCTAGTATGTTAGGGTTAGGACACGTACCCTAACTCTAACCCCTTCCCCTCAACCTAACCCCTTCGCCTAACCCACTAACCCTAAC